CAACCACTAGAACGACTGGTCATCTACCACAATTTACTACCAACCACTAGAATGACTGGTCATCTACCACAATTAACTAGCAACCTCTAGAACGACTGGTCATCTACCACAATTTACTACCAACCACTAGAACGACTGGTAATCTACCACAATTAACTAGCAACCAATAAAACTACTGGTCATCTACCACAATTTACTAGCAAACAATAGAACTACTGGTCATCTACCACAACTAACTAGCAACCACTAGAACGACTGGTCATCTACCACAATTAACTAGCAACCAATAAAACTACTGGTCATCTACTACAAATTACTACCAGCCACTAGAACTACTGGTTATCTATGACAATTTACAACCAGCCACTAAAACTACCAGTCACCCACTACAACTCTGACCACCTCACATTACTGCTGGCTAGTGTAATTGATACTAACAGACTTGAGATACTGTGAGAAACAAAAGATCAAATGCTCTGCTCATCCTGTAACAAGGCTGCAACACCAGTTACCAACAGGCAATACACTTAGCCATCTGGTACAGGGAACGCCAATAAATATGGGGCTGAAATATATGACCACAGATCACTAGAAATATGGACTTTTCATATTTGGAGTCATATTTATGCGCACAAGTGATTCTTTAATTTCCATTATTTTTAACATGTGAGGGGAATTAATCAACTACAAACACAGCAAAGGCAAAACTGCTTCCTGTCCATCTGGCCAAGAAAACAAGTCATTCTCTGGACACAGTCACAGAGATCTTAGTGAAGTCATTAGTTATGCATCACAATTACCCCGCTCCCATCCCCATAAAAAAATAAATTTTTAAAATCCCAAATAATATGCTGCCGCCCCCCCCCCCCCCCCCCCCCCCCACGAATATGTTTAAACCCTAAATAATATCCCCCTCCACCCCAACTTTTTTTTTTCAAAAGACCCACCATGTGTATGCACTACACCATTACAAATCTGTACTAAAACTGCTACCTGGCCAATGCTCAGACGTCCTGTCAACAAAAACCCTTCATTGTAGGGAAACCAATTTTCTAGGGGTGGGGGACAGGGTTAAACAACTCTGAACCCTCACAGACATAGTTAAACTCATCTGTAGCCTTTGACACAGCAACATCTGTAGCCTTTGACACAGCAACATCTGTAGCCTTTGACACAGCAACATCTGTAGCTTTTGACACAGCAACATTTACAAATAGCTTAATTATCCACCTTTAAAAGGGAAAAAAACCTGGTAAAGTTACCTTTAACCCTTCAAATGTCAGCGCAGACAGGTTGGTACTATTGAGGTTTAGCTTTCGCAGGCTTTTCATGGCTGTAGATAAACATTATTTAAAGATATATCATGTGATGAATGCATGGTGGGAAAGGTGTGTGTATGTGTGAAAATCCACACATATCTTTTTTCTTCCTCGCTTACCTAGTGTTTCCCACATTAGACAGGATGTGAACTTCACAGCAGATGGATAGATACCCTCTGACAGTGAACTAAGATGAAGACAGACTTTCAACTTCAAAGTAGATGGAGAGATGCCCTCTTACCTCTGACACAGATCTAAGATGAAGACAGACTTTCAACATCACAGCAGATGGAGAGATGCCCTCTGACACCGAGATAAGATGAAAACAGACTTTCAACATCACAGCAGATGGAGAGATGCCCTCTGACCTCTGACACCGAGCTAAGATGAAAACAGACTTTCAACATCACAGCAGACAAATAGATGCCCTCTGACCTCTGACAGTGAGCTAAGAGGTGGACAGACTTTCAACATCACAGCAGACGAATAGATGCCCTCTGACCTCTGACACCGAGCTAAGATGTAGACAGACTTTCAACTTCACAACAAATGGATAGATGCTTTCTGACTACGAGCTAAGATGGGGAAGACTTACCATATTTTTTCATGTATAAGATTCCCTTATGTATAAGACACACCCAATTTTTGTAGCCCAAAATTATTTAATAAATATTGTAAACACAATTATGTACAACACGACCCCCAATGTTCAACTGTAAAAACTGTGAGAAAATATATAAACTGATACACAGAAAAATCTGGTATGTTACAATTCTTATAACAAAATGCCTATTCTGGAGCAGATATTGGTGACAGACTTTTCAAATTTCTCTATCGTCTGTTATTTGGTAAAATACTTACTTTTTACACGCAAATTTTGCCTCTCTTACCTAGACGTACTGCCTGCAGAGTGGCAAGCACTGCATTAGAGATGGCCAGTAGTTAGGTTTCTCTAGATATCTTCGCCAGGCCATGGAGGTGTCTGGCAAACAAACATATCAGATCCCCCCTCCAGGATTGCAGTGTGTAGGATTAACACCTCAAGGAAGTGAATCACACAGCTGAAAGTCCTGAAAGTGAATCACACAGGTGAAAGTTCTAGAAGTGGATCACGCAGGTGAGAGTCCTGGAAGTGAATCACTCAGCTGAAAGTCCTGGAGGTGAATCACATAGGTGAAAGTACTGGAAGTGAATCACACAGGTGAGAGTCTTGGAAGTGAATCACACAGGTGAGAGTCTTGGAAGTGAATCACACAGGTGAAAGTTCTAGAAGTGAATCACACAGGTGAAAGTTCTAGAAGTGAATCACACAGGTGAGAGTCTTGGAAGTGAATCACACAGGTGAAAGTTCTAGAAGTGAATCACACAGGTGAAAGTCTTGGAAGTGAATCACACAGGTGAAAGTCCTAGAAGTGAATCACGCAGGTGAAAGTCCTGGAAGTGAATCACACAGGTGAAAGTCCTGGAAGTGAATCACACAGGTGAAAGTCTTTGAAGTGAATCACACAGATGAAAGTCATGGAAGTGAATCACACAGGTGAGAGTCCTGGAAGTGGATCACACAGGTGAGAGTCCTGGAAGTGAATCACTCAGCTGAAAGTACATTCACATTCACAGTTATACTGGGGTATCCCAAAACACTGATGAAGTGACCTGTAGTCCAGTGTGGGTAGGTTTAACTTTATGTATGGGTGCTGTCATCATTATATTGTCACGTTAGGAGACGAGGGAATATGGAACATGTTGTGACCACTGGAAAGATTTGTGGAAAGAGAGATAGGAAGATCTGGCCCACAAAACTCAGAGGACAGACAAGGATTAACAATAATACTGGGAATCAGAACTCTTCACCGCCTGCTGAAGATGGGGATTGTGTGCTTATAGGAATGTCAAAAGTTCTGTTACGTCCGATCTCAACTTAACTCATATCTAGTACTTTCCCACATAATGCTAATTGTTATTCAGCCCATTATGTTGATATTTCCAATATTTTTTCAAAGACTTTTCTTTATTGCTTTTATTATTAATCTTCTAAAGCTGTAGTTTTTCATCACTATGATCAAATTGTAGGGCTCATCTGACATCTAAGTGACTGCGACTTCAACCAGAGACAGGATCAACACTCACCAGCAAGGCAGGACAGCCCTTTGTCTGTGACTGGAGTCTCACAGAGGTTCAACACTTGCAGCTTTTGCAGATGTTCAGAGATAATCTGTAGACCTTGGTCTCCAAACTGTGGAGGTAATAAAGGTGTCAACATTAGGGTCACTCCTGCAAGGGTCAGACATGGAAAATCATGGACTGATTAACAAAACATATTATACAACCTCTGTTTTCAAATTTTTTTTGTGTTTCCAAAAATGAACATTCATGTTCTTATATTTTCAAGATTTTAAACATTCAGATTGATTAACTTTAAAAATATTTTTAAGGAGAGAATTTTTCATAATCATTTCTATTATTTAATGTGCTTCAAAAAATAGCATTATTTGCAAACTTTATATTTCTGTAATTCAAACGTAATTGTTTCCACTTCACAAATATAATATTTTAGGACACCAGAACTTGATTAATGAATCTGAGGCATGGCACCGGATTCAAGAGTAGGAGTTCTTCAATCAAGGCATCATAAAGGTGAAAAATAAATGGGAACATGCAGTGCCTTAATGGGGAATCACAGAAAAGGTCTAAAGTTTGAGCCAATTTCCAGATATGTGATTTAGCTAACATTATTGTGCAAAACCTTTCAAGCACTCTCACAGTATATTCTTTTCCTCTCTGCCATATGTAAAGACCACATCCAACATACTTTTATCTAGCTCAGCCGTACAAAAACAACACTGATTAAGTCATGCTGTAATATGGTCCACGTATAATACTTGACAACTTTCTCATTCTGTTTACACCAAATAAAACCAATTTTTCAGTGTTTGTCTAGGTCAAAGCTTTCCTATCTTCTCATGTGATGACACATATTTTAGACAAACACAAACTGGAGACAGCAATTCATTCTACTGTTAACCCAGATGTTACAGTTTAATGCTGTGTGTCATTTTAAGTTCACACGACAAACCTTCACACTGCACCTGTGCTCTATGTGATGTGAAGTTTGCTAATAAAGAAATATCTCAAACCTGCAAGAGGACATGTGACCAACTTAGGCTTAATTAACCTCAGCCAGTTTGTAGGTGCTGATTCAGAGCTCAGTTACACTTCTGTTGATGCTTTTTTTTCCCCCTAATATTTTTTATTTTAAAAATACAGATAAAACATTTGGTTGTATCTGGATAAAGGGACAGATAAATCTGCAACAGAGACACAACAGAGAGGATACTTTAGCACCAGGTGGACAGAAAAGTCTGTGCCCCAATCTCACTCCATTAAGTTCAAACTATTTCCATGGTTCAAAACATCTACAGAAAGTGAACAATGTGGAAGAATGAGCTGATCACTACAGTGTAGTGTGAATGATGCTGGGGGGGGGGGGGGGGGGGGGGGGGGGTGTGTGTGATCAGGGTTCTGGCTGACACTCTACATTCAGATGGAAGGCAAGTTAGACATATTTCTTACTCTTGTTCTTTCGGATTTATACTGATAGACAAGTTCCTGTGATAAACTTGACCGTTTTTAGGAGTTCCCTTTTAGTTTCATACAGCTGTAAGTGCAGTTTTGACTAAAAATGGGCCAGTATTCCCTTCTCATTGGGCTGTACAAGGGACATTCTTGCGGGACATGTTCTGTAGTCTGCACACACGGCCCACAAGATCATATTGGTGAACTACTTAGACAAAGCCTGTGCATTTGCAGGTTAAGTCTGCTATGTTCTGTCCTAAGACGTAGAATGATGACCTGCTCATGCCAGTCAAGTAAGTGGTAGTCATCTCTGGCCAGATTCTGTTCACTTCTGACAGACTGGATGGCCTTTTTCTTCTCACAGTATGCTACTGCAGATATATAATGAAACTGCTACTGGTCCTATCGGCACTGGAACTCTTTGCTGGCTGCTGAAGATGAGAATGGAGCACATATGGAAAAGCCGTAAGTGCTATGATATAGGTTCTTAACAAAATCTTAACTCAATCAACCTAAACAGCACACATTTCAGTGAGCCCACCTGTGCGGATTAAACACCACACCTTTCATGTAGCTCACCTGTGTGGACCAAAGATTCAGGTAACGAAGTGAAGGTAATTTGATCAGGTCAGCGGCACAAGCACTGGTCACCTGTGTGAATGCCAGGCTCAGACACTCAAGGTTGCCAAATGACCCTGAACTCAACATTCTGGTAAGATCAACATCCGTGGATTTGCTGGGTAAGGTCAGCTTCTTAGGGCCACCTTTCTGTTGCTGTAGACAGCAGAGGGACAAACAATTTTTTTTTAAATCTTCTAGAAAGAAAGTTTATGTTATTGTGTAATTTAGCCAGACAAGGAGAGACAACAACAACAAAACAGACAAGACACAGAAACTGAGGTACTTTACTCACAGCTTAACATAAATATAATGTCAGACAACACACACACTCACTCACCAACAGAAAGTCACAATTACAAAGACAGAGAAACAGAGACAATGAAACTTACAAAGACAGTAAGATCACTATAAAGGCAGAGGCAAAGAAGCTGCTACACAGATTCGGATAAAGAGATGACAACAATGACAGAGAGACACCTAGAGGACCAAATAGAGAGAGGAAAAAGCAGAGCTGCAGACAGAAACATACAAAAAGTAGACGAAGGGTCAAACAACAGAAGGTGACTGACAGGAAGAACATTTCTGTCAGGACAAATTAGCAGTTGATAATAGATGGAGAGAGAGAGATAGGAAGAATAAATGCAGCAGACAGGATAATTTAAGTAGAAACATATCCGATACAGCTATCATGATGTCCTCCCCCCCTCTCTCTTGCTCACACCTATATCCACACAGACAGAGACAGACACACGCACAATGTTTGAAACACAGAGAAACAAGCGAACACAAACAAGTGCAAACAATTGGAAAGATATCACAGGCTACATTGTGGATCTATTTAGAAGCAACCTGAAAGCAAATGAACAACCTGACGTACGGTACGAGTCTTATCAGCAAAAGAAGAGAATTATCAAATCAATCAGAACGCCACCAAAACCGGCACAAGACCATTACCATTTCATGGGCAGACCACAGCAAGTTATTATTCGACGCCTTAGAACAGGGCACAAATCGACTTCGCAGCCACATGTACACACAATTTTTAATTGGCAAATCAGCCATGTGCACATGTGGATTGGCACCTGAGACAACAGATCATGTCCTCCAAGACTGTCCCAAATACAACATATCCAGGCAAAACGGCTCGCTGAGTGAATTACAAAAGACAGTGAAGTTCATTCGAGAGACAACATTACAGATATAGATAATTTATTTCAAGCAAACAAAAGAAGAAGAAGAAGAAGAAGAAGCAACCTGCAGACCCTTCTCCTTTCCTTCTTTAGCACTTATTGTTTGTTTTATTTGTCCAGTACATTCTGGGATGGATCATGAATAATGCTGTGCACTTGAAGCCTCCTCCTCCCTACAAACATTCTTTCCCACAGGGTTGCTTCTTTCTGTAAACTTTTCCTTTTGTAGAAAATTACTGGCAATCTTGTAAGCAGAACCTTGATGCATTGAGGATTGGTTCATTGTCCCATAATTATAACTGGGAGACTCTCAAACCTAGTTGGTGAGGGTGTGCTATGTGAGCCCACAATGTCCTGTCTCTCAGACCTAGTTGGTGAGGGTATGCTATGTGAGCCCACAATGTCCTGTCTCTCAGACCTAGTTGGTGAAGGTGTGCTATGTGAGCACATAGTGTCCTGTCTCTCAGACCTAGTTGGTGAAGGTGTGCTATGTGAGCCCACAATGTCCTGTCTCTCAGACCTAGTGTGTGGGGGTGTGCTATGTGAGCCCACAATGTCCTGTCTCTCAGACCTAGTGTGTGAGGGTGTGCTATGTGAGCCCACAATGTCCTGTCTCTCAGACCTAGTTGGTGAAGGTGTGCTATGTGAGCCCACAATGTCCTGTCTCTCAGACCTAGTGTGTGAGGGTGTGCTATGTGAGCCCACAATGTCCTATCTCTCAGAACTAGTGTGTGAGGGTGTGCTATGTGCGCCCACAATGTCCTGTTTCTCAGCCCTAGTGTGTGAGGGTGTGCTATGTGAGCCCACAATGTCCAGTCTCTCAGACCTAGTGTGTGAGGGTGTGCTATGTGAGCCCACAATGTCCTGTCTCTCAGATCTAGTGTGTGAGGGTGTGTTATGTGAGCCCACAATGTCCTGCCTCTCAGACCTAGTGTGTGAGGGTGTGCTATGTGAGCTCACAATGTCCTGTCTCTCAGACCTAGTTGGTGAAGGTGTGCTATGTGAGCCCACAATGTCCTGTCTCTCAGACCTAGTTGGTGAAGGTGTACTATGTGAGCCCACAATGTCCTGTCTCTCAGACCCAGTTGGTGAAGGTGTACTATGTGAGCCCACAATGTCCTGTCTCTCAGACCTAGTGTGTGAGGGTGTGCTATGTGAGCCCACAATGTCCTGTCTCTCAGACCTAGTTGGTGAAGGTGTGCCATGTGAGCAAACAATGTCCTGTCTCTCAGACCTAGTTGGTGAAGGTGTGCTATGTGACCCCACAATGTCCTGTCTCTCAGACCTAGTTGGTGAAGGTGTACTATGTGAGCCCACAATGTCCTGTCTCTGAGACCTAGATGGTGAAGGTGTGGTATGTGAGCCCACAATGTCCTGTCTCTCAGACCTAGTGTGTGAGGGTGTGTTATGTGAGCCCACAATGTCCTGCCTCTCAGACCTAGTGTGTGAGGGTGTGCTATGTGAGCTCACAATGTCCTGTCTCTTAGACCTAGTTGGTGAAGGTGTGCTATGTGAGCCCACAATGTCCTGTCTCTCAGACCTAGTTGGTGAAGGTGTACTATGTGAGCCCACAATGTCCTGTCTCTCAGACCTAGTTGGTGAAGGTGTACTATGTGAGCCCACAATGTCCTGTCTCTCAGACCTAGTGTGTGAGGGTGTGCTATGTGAGCCCACAATGTCCTGTCTCTCAGACCTAGTTGGTGAAGGTGTGCTATGTGAGCCCACAATGTCCTGTCTCTCAGACCTAGTTGGTGAAGGTGTGCCATGTGAGCAAACAATGTCCTGTCTCTCAGACCTAGTTGGTGAAGGTGTGCTATGTGACCCCACAATGTCCTGTCTCTCAGACCTAGTTGGTGAAGGTGTACTATGTGAGCCCACAATGTCCTGTCTCTCAGACCTAGATGGTGAAGGTGTGGTATGTAAGCCCACAATGTCCTGTCTCTCAGACCTAGTTGGTGAAGGTGTGCTATGTGAGCCCACAATGTCCTATCTCTCAGACCTAGTGTGTGAGGGTGTGCTATGTGAGCCCACAATGTCCTGTCTCTCAGACCTAGTTGGTGAAGGTGTGCTATGTGAGCCCACAATGTCCTGTCTCTCAGACCTAGTGTGTGAGGGTGTGCTATGTGAGCCCACAATGTCCTATCTCTCAGAACTAGTGTGTGAGGGTGTGCTATGTGCGCCCACAATGTCCTGTTTCTCAGCCCTAGTGTGTGAGGGTGTGCTATGTGAGCCCACAATGTCCAGTCTCTCAGACCTAGTGTGTGAGGGTGTGCTATGTGAGCCCACAATGTCCTGTCTCTCAGACCTAGTGTGTGAGGGTGTGTTATGTGAGCCCACAATGTCCTGCCTCTCAGACCTAGTGTGTGAGGGTGTGTTATGTGAGCCCACAATGTCCTGCCTCTCAGACCTAGTGTGTGAGGGTGTGCTATGTGAGCCCACAATGTCCTGTCTCTCAGACCTAGTTGGTGAAGGTGTGCTATGTGAGCTCACAATGTCCTGTCTCTCAGACCTAGTTGGTGAAGGTGTGCTATGTGAGCCCACAATGTCCTGTCTCTCAGACCTAGTTGGTGAAGGTGTACTATGTGAGCCCACAATGTCCTGTCTCTCAGACCCAGTTGGTGAAGGTGTACTATGTGAGCCCACAATGTCCTGTCTCTCAGACCTAGTGTGTGAGGGTGTGCTATGTGAGCCCACAATGTCCTGTCTCTCAGACCTAGTTGGTGAAGGTGTGCTATGTGAGCCCACAATGTCCTGTCTCTCAGACCTAGTTGGTGAAGGTGTACTATGTGAGCCCACAATGTCCTGTCTCTCAGACCTAGTGTGTGAAGGTGTGCTATGTGAGCCCACAATGTACTGTCTCTCAGACCTAGATGGTGAAGGTGTGCTATGTGAGCCCACAATGTCCTGTCTCTGAGACCTAGATGGTGAAGGTGTGCTATGTGACCCCACAATGTCCTGTCTCTCAGACCTAGTTGGTGAAGGTGTGCTATGTGAGCCCACAATGTCCTATCTCTCAGACCTAGTGGGTAAAGGTGTGCTATGTGAGCCCACAATGTCCTGTCTCTCAGACCTAGTGGGTAAAGGTGTGCTATGTGAGCCCACAATGTCCTGTCTCTCAGACCTAGAAGATGTGCGCAGAGCCCTCACTGTTCCCAACCTTTTGCCTTGAACAGCAGGGGAAAAAAAACGACACTTTCGTGTAGGTCCAATTCCCCGCAAATGTCATAGAGAGAAAAAACACAAGACAGGTAGAGAGATAAAACACAAGACCGGTAGATAGATAAAACACAAGACAGGTAGAGAGATAAAACAAGACAGGTAGAGAGATAAAACACAAGACAGGTAGAGAGATAAAACACAAGACAGGTAGAGAGATAAAACACAAGACAGGTAGAGAGATAAAACACAAGACAGGTGGAGAGATAAAACACAAGACAGGTAGAGAGATAAAACACAAGACAGGTAGAGAGATAAAACACAAGACAGGTAGAGAGATAAAACACAAGACAGGCAGAGAGATAAAACACACATAATCAAGATCAAAACAGGTAGAGAGATAAAACGCAAGACATGTAGAGAGATAAAACACAGTCAAGACAGGCAAAGACAGACCATCCTGAAATATTTCATTATAAGCACTCACAAAAACTACTGGCTCAAATTCAAACATTAATGAATTTACTGCTTACAATTTCCTTAATGGCAATCTGGCGCTCACACAGTTGGGCGTACATGCGCTTGCCCTCACAGGTCGACTGTAAGGTTGTGATCATCTGCATCTTCATGTCATGTCCCTCCACGGCTTCCAGCTCCAACATCGCACATAGCACCTGGTGACAGGACAGCACTGTGGGAGTTAGTTGTATGACAGGACAGCACTGAGAGGGTTACTTGTGTGGCAGGACAGCACTGTGGGGGTAGCTGGTGTGGCAGGACAGCACTGTGGGGGTTACTTGTGTGACAGGACAGCACTGTGAGGGTTACTTATGTGACAGGACAGCAGTGAGAGGGTTACTTGTGTGACAGGACAGCACTGTGAGGGTTACTTGTGTGACAGGACAGCACTGTGAGGGTTACTTGTGTGACAGGACAGCACTGTGAGGGTTACTTATGTGACAGGACAGCACTGTGAGGGTTACTTTGTGACAGGACAGCACTGTGAGGGTTACTTGTGTGACAGGATAGAACTGTGAGGGTTACTTGTGTGACAGGACAGCACTATAAGGGTTACTTGTGTGACAGGACAGCAGTGAGAGGGTTACTTGTGTGACAGGACAGCAGTGAGAGGGTTACTTGTGTGGCAGGACAGCACTATAAGGGTTACTTGTGTGACAGGACAGCAGTGAAGGGTTACTTGTGTGACAGGACAGCAGTGAGAGGGTTACTTGTGTGACAGGACAGCAGTGAGAGGGTTACTTGTGTGGCAGGACAGCACTATAAGGGTTACTTGTGTGACAGGACAGCAGTGAGAGAGTTACTTGTGTGACAGGACAGCAGTGAGAGGGTTACTTGTGTGACAGGACAGCAGTGAGAGGGTTACTTGTGTGGCAGGACAGCACTGTGGGGGTTACTTGTGTGACAGGACAGCACTATAAGGGTTACTTGTGTGACAGGACAGCACTGTGAGGGTTACTTGTGTGACAGGACAGCACTGTGAGGGTTACTTGTGTGACAGGACAGAACTGTGAGGGTTACTTGTGTGACAGGACAGCACTATAAGGGTTACTTGTGTGACAGGACAGCAGTGAGAGGGTTACTTGTGTGACAGGACAGCAGTGAGAGGGTAACTTGTGTGGCAGGACAGCACTATAAGGGTTACTTGTGTGACAGGACAGCAGTGAGAGGGTTACTTGTGTGACAGGACAGCAGTGAGAGGGTTACTTGTGTGACAGGACAGCAGTGAGAGGGTTACTTGTGTGGCAGGACAGCACTATAAGGGTTACTTGTGTGACAGGACAGCAGTGAGAGGGTTACTTGTGTGACAGGACAGCAGTGAGAGGGTTACTTGTGTGACAGGACAGCAGTGAGAGGGTTACTTGTGTGGCAGGACAGCACTGTGGGGGTTACTTGTGTGACAGGACAGCACTGTGAGGGTTACTTGTGTGACAGGACAGCACTATAAGGGTTACTTGTGTGGCAGGACAGCACTGTGAGGGTTACTTGTGTGACAGGACAGCACTGTGAGGGTTACTTGTGTGGCAGGACAGCACTGTGAGGGTTACTTGTGTGACAGGACAGCAGTGAGAGGGTTACTTGTGTGACAGGACAGCAGTGAGAGGGTTACTTGTGTGGCAGGACAGCACTGTGGGGGTTACTTGTGTGACAGGACAGCACTATAAGGGTTACTTGTGTGGCAGGACAGCACTGTGGGGGTTACTTGTGTGACAGGACAGCACTATAAGGGTTACTTGTGTGGCAGGACAGCACTATAAGGGTTACTTGTGTGACAGGACAGCACTATAAGGGTTACTTGTGTGACAGGACAGCACTATAAGGGTTACTTGTGTGACAGGACAGCACTGTGAGGGTTACTTGTGTGACAGGACAGCACTATAACTTGTGTGGCAGGACAGGTTACTTGTGTGACAGGACAGCACTATAAGGGTTACTTATGTGACAGGACAGCACTATAAGGGTTACTTGTGTGACAGGACAGCAGTGAGAGGGTTACTTGTGTGGCAGGACAGCACTGTGGGGGTTAGCGGTGTGGCAGGACAGCACTGTGGGGGTTAGCTGTGTGGCAGGACAGCACTGTGGGGGTTACTTGTGTGGCAGGACAGCACTGAAGAGGTTAGTTGTGTGATTGCACAGCAATGTAGGTATTAACTGTGTGATTGCACAGCAATGTGGGTGTTAACTGTGTGATTGCACAGCAATGTGGGTGTCAGTCGTGTGACAGACAGCATTTTGTCAGTACTAGTTATGATAAGCAGCATATGATTTAAATCATTTATGTTATGCTAATAACACTATCATGATAGCAATAAGTCAGAAAGAACAGCAGAAAATGACACAATGGTTGTAGAAAAGCAAATAATGGGCCCCAGCTTGAATCATGGGAAGACTAAAGTAACGGTGATATCACAGAAAAGTATTATTACCTAAATAACAGTGTTATCTTGAGACAAGTACAGAAGTTAAACTATCTAGGCACATAGACAACATGAGATGAAAGATGTATCACAGAGTACAGAACAGAACAGGCAAAAACTGCACGTTATAAAAGGATTAACATCTTATGCAATAAACTCTGCCGCTGAAGAAATTGCAAATTGTAAGCTGTGAAGAGGTATGATCACCCACACCAGTCGATATGGTACTTGGTAAAGATCACCATGTGGTTTTGTTTCTTTGATATGTTAGCTTTTATACAGGTTTTGAACACCCATGATTATAAGTGGAAGATCTAAGTATACCCTTAGATCTGATGATGATAATGCAAGTCTTGCTAACAGAAAATGAGCAATATCTCTAAATACTATTTTTTTTTTTAAACTATGTTCAGATTCTGCAAAGAACAATTCATTAATCCTCTTGAACCTTTTTTCTTCTTCCTCTTCATCCTCTATCCTATAATGAACCAAAGATCCGTAATGAACCATAGATCCTCCATAATCCAAGACATAGAGTTGCCTGACTTTATCATCTGAAGCTTTAAATGGGGCGACCACCCTAAATTCAAATGAAATAAAAATAAAAAGGAAAGCCAACTTGGCAGTATCAGAACCGACCTCCATGGCAGCCATGTTGTCTCTGAGAGCCAGAAGCATGATGGGTCCCAGCATCTTGGAGATGCTCATTAGAAACTTCTTCCGTCGGCAGCAGCATTTCATCAGTGTGTTTAACTGTGGAATGAAAGAGGCACTTAACTGTGGATTCAATGATGTGATGTGTTTAACTGTGGAATGAAAGAGGCGCTTAACTGTGGATTAAATGATCTGATGTGTTTAACTGTGGAATGAAAGAGGCGCTTAACTGTGAATTCAATGATGTGATGTGTTTAACTGTGGAATGAAAGAGGCACTTAACTGTGGATTCAATGATGTGATGTGTTTAACTGTGGAATGAAAGAGGCGCTTAACTGTGGATTAAATGATGTGATGTGTTTAACTGTGGAATGAAAGAGGCGCTTAACTGTGAATTCAATGATGTGATGTGTTTAACTGTGGAATGAAAGAGGCGCTTAACTGTGGATTAAATTATGTGATGTGTTTAACTGTGGAATGAAAGAGGCACTTAACTGTGAATTCAATGATGTGATGTGTTTAAATGTGGAATGAAAGAGGCGCTTAACTGTGATTTCAATGATGTGATGTGTTTAACTGTGAGATAAAAGAGGCGTTTAACTGTGGACCTAAGCTCAAACTCTTTACATTTACTGTGATTTTCAAAACTGGCTTGATGCTATCTATGCTGATTAGTTTATTTAAAACAATGTCTTCCAATTTTGAATTTACATGATGATGATGACACAAACAATTAAACTGTATCACTGCTTTTCCAGAAATATTCTTTCATAGCAAATCATCTGCTGGACTCTTGAGACAACAGTTTCATGTTTTATGCACAGAACCAATGAATACTGAACAACAACAGCATACAAGTGCAAGCAGACGGACTGACAGTTTAAAAACTGCTGCAATAACCCTTTTCAGTGAAACAGTGGACGTGCCAACTTTCATATAAAAGGATTCCTTACTGTATTGTCTGGTGTGATGACCGTATTTGTGTACTACACGTCTGATGTTATACAGTGAAACAGACCGGGCAATAAGCTGTTTGTTTTATTTATTTATTATTTGTGGTCTTATAGACGGATGATAAGAAGACTGCCCTCATCTTGAAGTGGCAATCTACATGTTTTGGTCATGTGATGAGAAGGAGAAAACTGGAGTACATCATGACAGTAGGAAACCTAGAGGGGAGGAGAGGCAGGGGGAGACTGAGAGAACAGATGCTGGACAGTCTGAGATTATGGCAAGGAGGATCATCTATGTTAGAGTGATTGAAAGTTCGGACAGAAGGCTGTGGAAAGACATGACTACCAATGTTACACAGCATCGACTTTTAAGAAGATTTACAATGGTGCTGTCTACATAAGGAAGGCTGGCAGCAATAGAACCCCAACACTCTTGTCTCTTATCTTAGCTGTACACTCTCTCAGACTGCTGTTCATCTATTGGTGTTTTCCACCCGCAGGCATCATTGTCTACCTCTTGCTTGCCTGCCTGCAATAAGTGTGCTTCGTCTACAGTTCTGGTTTCAGGTCACTGTTCTACACATCCAAATCATGTCTGAACCTGTCCGCCAGTAGTAGACCCATCTCATGAAGGTATTTCATGCCACATCTTATGCAGCTAATGGCGTAAATAACATTGCGGCTCAAGGCAATAGAATGCCTCACGTATATGGTAGGTGACATTTGGAAATTTAAGACTTTTCCCCAGAACCACATATGGACAAGTCTTGTATACAGGTCTGTGGCGGGAGACAATGCCTAAGTGGAACTCAGATGTATGTATGTATGGCCAAAATACAAGAAAAATATGAGATGAACAAAAAAGCAGAAGAAATCAATGTTTACATTTAACACACACGCAATGACTTATGTCTCACCATGACCCCCCAGAGCTGACCATCGTCATCGCAGGCTATCCCCCCTGGACAGTACAGATGGAACCAGCCTTCCTTGCCCTCCCGTATGCCTAGCAGTGTCTGATGTACCCCGCAGCTCTCGTCACTGGAGACGTTGTGGATGGTGACTTTCATGCGGCTGAAACAAACAAGCAAGCTGAAGGAACTTTGTCCTGAAAAATAAATCTGGATATACTGTTATGAATCAGGAAAGGACCATCAATAAAGGAGAAAATGATCACAGACAGGTTCAGAGTTAACCCTACCAGACCTGAGGCCCTGAACCTAACTGCCCCCTATACCTGAGCTCCTGGGCATTAATATGAAAAACCAAAAGGATATACAAAAATATTAGTTACATGCAAAAAAAGTGGTTAGATTAAGACGAAAATTGGATATATTGTAGAAAATAGGTTGACCTATCATCTAGCACCAATATTTCACCTTTGGGTGCCAATCCCCCCCAGCAGGATCAGCCTTGTTTCACAAAGTGAGTACCAGATGATGCTGTTTGAGGGACACACCCACTACTCTTACTTTTGATCTAGTTTTACATCTATAATTTTCAAGATTCTCCTCATCACTCGAGCTCTCACTCACTGCGTCGCTTCAACTGGGAATGTATCCTTGATGAAATTTTGACTCTTCAGAGTCTGAATCAACCAATGTATCAATCACCTGTTCAACTGTGAAAAGCCTAAACCTATTTCACTATCCTGTCCAAGTGCTTGGTTTATCAGCCGCTCGTTTCATTGTGAATTTTCATAATTTTTTCATGTTAAACCACATTTTTTCATGTAAATCCAAACACACGTGGGCAGCCATTTACAATGACTAACCATGAGGTTTGATCATAATTGGTTGGTTATTTATAGTTTGTGACACATTTTACCATGTAGTATGCAAAGCACCAAAAATTAGGTACAGCGGTTTAACGGCAGATTAGGAAACTTACCTAAAAAGCGGTACAGCGGTCTGGCAGAGTTAAGCGTCTGACAAGACGCAGGTTACATACATGCAATAGCATCAATAGTCCTGACATCTCACAATCTAATAGTGGAAGGTTATACACACTGGCAATGCCCTCAGCAGCACAACACAAAACTACAACACTATCATCTGGAAAGACAAAAAGGTGCCAATAACAACGCTCCCACACACACAGACACTGCTGTGATTTTTTTTTTGCTAGTTGATGTCCCTGGTAAGCGGCAGCAGCGCAGTCATTGGTACTTCAGCCACAAGTGACAACAGTTCAATTTGCTTTGAAGCAAAAGTTTAAAACTTTGTCAGGAGTTCCAGGTAAACCTAGCCTACAATAAGTAGCAGGAAATTGCTGTGCAAGTAAATATGGCCATCATGATTAGCTCAAGTCACACACCAACAACCAACTGGTCTCTCTGTATGTGCCTATTTATGCCCAGCAGAACTTGAGGGATGAAGAGGGTCCTTTACTCTTTTTTTTTTAAACTCATGTCAGTGTGATCTCTGTGAAAGGTGTGGACACTGTCTGTCCCCGTCAGATATACTTCATCTACATCCACTGCAGCCAGTCCAATGCTCAAGTTTACTACATTAACATCCGTCAGCGCTCTTGAAGCCACTGCAGCCAGTCCAATGCTCAAGTTCACTACATTAACATCCGTCAGCACTCTTGAAGCCACTGCAGCCAGTCCAATGCTCAAGTTCACTACATTAACATCCGTCAGCGCTCTTGAAGCCACTGCAGCCAGTCCAATGCTCAAGTTCACTACATTAACATCCGTCAGCGCTCTTGAAGCCACTGCAGCCAGTCCAATGCTCAAGTTCACTACATTAACATCCGTCAGCGCTCTTGAAGCCACTGCAGCCAGTCCAATGCTCAAGTTCACTACATTAACATCCGTCAGCGCTCTTGAAGCCACTGCAGCCAGTCCAATGCTCAAGTTCACTATATTAACATCCGTCAGCGCTCTTGAAGCCACTGCAGCCAGTCCAATGCTCAAGTTCACTACATTAACATCCGTCAGTGCTCTTGAAGATTCCTCAAATTATTCATGTACCGGGCAGTCCTCTGTTTCCCTCAGTATCATAATCATCATTATCGTGAAGTGCCTTGCTGACTGGCATGCTATACATCTGGACCCATCCAATTTTGCATGCTCTAAAATCTTTCCAGGCCATGGCAAAAGGCCATCGTCTTCTCTTAGTCTTTCTATTCTCTGAGTCTTTCCAAAAATCTGTCCCTTTGTCAACATCTTTCAGTCTGTTCTTCTCGCAATCATCAAGTGCCCATCAAGTGCCCGGCACCATATTCCAACCAGACCTCGAGTCTCTGTTCACTCTTCTCACTGTACTCCCAACCCTGCAATATAACATCAACTGGGGCTCTTCAATTCCCAACATAATGTGTACAGGGGTTGAAAACTTTAGTCCCAATTTTCAATAATGTTGTCTTCTTCTGTGTTCACCGACTGTCAGCTCCGTCAGAAAGTCCTGGTTGCTCGTCCGTTTGGACTTTGGCTTTGTGCCAGGGCCTGAGATTGTGAGTACATCCGTTTTACTGGCTTCTTTGCGTGCAGTTGGCTGTCCCATGCCATTTGGGCAGAGGTACTCCGACTACGAAGGAAATCCCCATTTAGTAGACTGCAACCAAATGTGAAAAGGATTTTGTCACTTCATTTACTGTACACATCCACTACAACTCATAAACGGCCATTTTATTTTACTTTTAACAATAGCAGCAATTTAATTAAAAAAACAAAGCAACACGTGTCCGAAATGAAAACAACAGGCAGCCATAAAAAAAGAAGGTGCCCACAAGAGAGAAGCATGTTGGTGGCAATACTTACGATGTGAACAGTGAGTCAGTGATGGCGCTGAAATGAAACAAACAGAAATATTGATAAATTTGTAGTCCTGGCAGTCGAGTGATAAGTACATGACCTACTAATCAGCAAGTTTTGGTTAGTTCCACGTTACTCTCCCCAGACCCCACCCATATTCACACTAGCTCACTTCTGATGAGTAGTTCCTGAGCCCCGTGACCTTCGCACACAGTTACAGTGGTGTTCCGCAAGGCCGGTGATATAATGTGATATATATTTAAGCATGCTAGCTCTTTTAATGCTCCAAAAACATTGAGATACTGGGTCTAACAACCCCCCCCCCCCCCCCTCCCCCCCCCCCCCCCCCCGAGATTGCTGCAACCTATATCACATGCATTCTCTTTCTTAGAATAAAAAATGTAAATGCAAGACATTGCAACAAGAGAGTGGGACACAGCCGTAACTTTCAGGAAAGTTGACCAGCCCAACAAACTTCTGAAAGAAAAGGGACCTACTCTATTCAGGAAGACTAACATCGAACTAACCGTGGTCTTATAAAATGGCTATGGGTGATTACTCTTAAAAAAGACAGTTGAGATAACAAGCGTCATAATACCCATAATGTGCCATTTGGAAACAGAATATGAGTCTATATTTCTAAAAAGTGGTAAAAATAGTAGTGAATGCAGTCAAGTGAATACCAAGATACTAAGCCAGTGAAGTGTGACTAAAAGCTCAGTGAAATGGGAAGGCAGAACAACGTGCACAAAAACAACACAAATCAACATTTCAGCCAGGGCCTTTCTCAACATGAACTAACTACAAAATTATAGCAAAGGGGAGAGTACTCCAACCACCAAGGTCCACCAGGGGGTCACATGACCCGCATAATTTTTTAATTTAATTCATTTTTCTATGCTCATTTTATTTTATTTCACATTATTATTTTATTCTATCTATTATTAATACCAGCTGTGAATCATTAACATTTATATTTGTAGTACTCTTAGAAGAAAAAGAATAAACGCCTGCAAATGTTTAAACTTCAGACTAAAAACAATACTTACTCATCAGGAAATGGAATTGGCTGCAGCAGACTGCCTAGAACATAGCGCCAGTCATCAAACTCTGACCTGAAGCAAACACATACAACAACTTAGATTTTTTCATAAAATACCCAGTGGGGGTTCCGGGACCCTATTATTGGGGATATAGAATAGATCCACAAACATGCCATAAGAGTCGACTTATAAGGGTGTTTCCTTTAAAGTCACAATGCATCTGTCTGAGAGGAGAGGAACTTAAGATCTACATACAATAAGCCAAATTTGTAAAAATTATTATGCATGTAGAACTTAAGTTCTAGAACAAGAGGTGGACAAACAACCAGAACTTTGTGCCTGAGGTAACATCCCGTGAATGTGAAAAAAAGTGGATGAACAACCAGAACTTTGTGCCTGAGTTTACATCTAGTGAATGTAAAAAGGTGGACACACAACTAGAACTTTGTGCCTGAGTTTACAACCAGTGAATGTAAAAAGGTGGACACACAACCAGAACTTTGTGCCTGAGTTTCAAAAAATGAAGCCAATGTGGAACAATATTTATTTATTTCTATTATACTTTATTGCAACTTTACTGCATGGCATCATGGAAAACTAAAGAAACATGCAATCTACATATCATTTGAAATTATACAGCCCTGAGATTAAATAGAAAACTTTTTTGTTTTGTTATTCCATCACAAATCTAAATTTGTCTTCTCCTCAAAACCAACGAAGTGAAGCATTGGTCATAATGTATGTTGTCCACATCTCAATGCCATGTACATATGTTTTTTTCACTCCCTACTTTAGGTGTCCAGGAAGATACAAGGTACTGCTTCCTGCTCTTCTAGCCACCTCAACCACACACTTGTACTGTTCCAAGTTTCTTTATTATCTTCACATCGTTCTTGGTCTGCCTCACGCTCTATGTCCCGTCCCCTCTTCTGATGTATGCCTTCTGTGGTCTGCCTCACGCTCTATGTCCCGTCCCCTCTTCTGATATATGCTTTGTATGGTCTGCCTCACACTCTATGTCCCGTCCCCTCTTCTGATATATGCCTTGTATGGTCTGCCTCACGCTCTATGTCCCGTCCCCTCTTCTGATATATGCCTTGTATGGTCTGCCTCACGCTCTATGTCCCGTCCCCTCTTCTGATATATGCCTTGTATGGTCTGCCTCACACTCTATGTCCCGTCCCCTCTTCTGATATATGCCTTGAATGGTCTGCCTCATGCTCTATGTCCCGTCCCCTCTTCTGATGTATGCCGTGTATAGTCTGCCTCATGCTCTATGTCCCGTCCCCTCTTCTGATATATGCCTTGTATGGTCTGCCTCACGCTCTATGTCCCGTCCCCTCTTATGATATATGCCTTGTATGGTCTGGTGTTGCAGGACCTCCTCTGTTTGTTTGTTTGTTTTACTATCCAGAAGCCATGAGTTGTTAACCCTTAGGCTCTGTATTATGGATATCGCAACCTTTTGGCCTTAATTCCATTGTAAATACCGTAAATGTGGGAAAAATGTGGCTTTCCTGCCTACCCCGGGATTGAGCCCGGACCACAAGGAGTTCGTCACCCGGTCTCCGCGCAATCCGGTTTAGCCAATTACGCTACAGAGCCGGGCAGACCTCCTCTGTAAGCGGGCAAACAATTTGCTGTCTCTGTGTGAAATTTTAAACTGGTTCTATGCTGACTGTTTCTCTTGGGACTTCTTTACTGATTTTATCTATTCTGGTCACTCCTAGTGCCTTTCTCAGACAACACATTTTCAGTGCTTACTAATTTTGTGTTTTTGATTTGTTGTGTGTTGTCTTATGTACTGCCAATACCTTTTTTTATATAGGTGCTCCTTCCCCATGTCATGATGAGACCTCTCCTCGTCTCACTCTTGCTTCTTTTCTCCTCTAATTTTCCTGACACGACAAACTCAAAGTTTCCCCTTTTGGTGGCAGGCTGAACGAATGAGGATGTGGGCTGTCCTTTTCTGATGTGGAGGACCACTTCTCTGTCTCAAGTTCAAACCCGTAACCAACAGGCAAGTAGGCAAAAATGCTAGCCACTGTACTTCAGCAGCTTCAAATGTTTTTCGGCCAAAAGAACAGAAGGAAGACATGAGAACCAACTCGGATAAGACAGGTCCCAACCCTAGGATAGTCTGGCTGAACCCGAGTGTTTTGATCGTCTCCGAAAGCAGTCGCTATAACCGTGAATCATCTAGATGGCCTGCATGGAGGCCGCAAGGAGGCGGCACTTCCACCACAAAAAGGCCAATCACCTGTCTGTCTTAAATTATGAGAGTAATCACAGAGAGAAAACTGGACAGATCTTAGCGTCCATAAACTGGCATGGCTTGAAATAAGCCAAAAAAAGTAAACTGCTCATAGAAAAGTCTGAAGATCTCTCTGGCAAACCTCTACACCTTACGGTAGAAGAGGATGGACTAAGTAAAAGGCAAAGTTATCAATGAAAATCTTTATAAGGGGCTGAAAAAGCAGTCGGTAACTCATAGCTTGACTGACAGTGAGGGTCAGACCACCAGAACACAGTCCTATCACTGCCTTTATGTGGCTCTTGTGAAAGGAGCTGCATCACTACATTTTGGCCATGGCAGTAGGCAACAACAACAACAAAAGATGGTAAATCTGGCTACAGAAAAGAAAAAAAATTCGTTGATGTTTCAACAAAAAAAGCATAAATGTAATAGCATTTCTATAAATAAAGAATGCAACTTACAAAAATCAGATGTACTTACATGACTTCCATCATAGAAACATAACACAGCAACTTGTTCTCCCATTCCGTGTGGTCAAACTGTTCTCTGGTCAGATTATTGTGCATGATACTGGCCATAAAGAGATAAATACAGCAGAGTTATCTACAAGTAAACTAGAGTAATGTCTCTTTGATTGTATGTAGATGTAACTACTGCTTGCATGTGAGCTTCATATATGCTGTTGTGTCTTTTACGTGTGATGGACTTTCAAATTTAAGGTGGTTTCCTGCAGATAAGACCAACCGTTACTGACATGTTAGGACTTCACAATTCGTGACCTATACATATTAAGCTGAGGTGATCAGTTTCCTTTCTAGGTCACTTTTCTTTCCCATGCAATTCCTACAACATTCTAAAAAATGTGCAAACAAGAAAGAAAAAATATGGCCTGTACATAAACAGAATGTCAACTGGATTTAATTTAGAATGCTTTTTACTGTGCCCAATGTGGTTTCTGTTGTAAACTGCAGATTTTTAAAAATGGTGACTGGCCTCTTGCCAGAGAACAGCTGGTGCCTTATGCAATTAATCTGCGAGTGTGACTGCTGACTGCTTGTAACTGCTGCTTCCAGTGATGATTAACTGCATTTCTATTGTTGGACTTTCTGTGCTGGCACTGCTTACATTGCCTTAACTCTTTGAGTCCCATCGGGTTTAGCATCAGAGACCCAAAGGGTAGTCAAAAGAGACGTAAAACAAGCGCATCTTGCGTTCATTGGGCTTCTAGGTAGGAACCTATGAACGTATGATGCGTGTCTTGGGACTCAAAGAGTTATGCATTTAATGAATGTGTATACTATTGGATTTGTTAACTCTGCAGGATAGTGATGGAAATGTTGTGTGGATTTCTCTGACACTACTATGGTGTGTGTGGGTTTCTTTGAAATAACTATGGTGTGTGGGTTTCTCTGACAAAACTATGGTGTGTGGGTTTCTCTGACAAAACTATGGTGTGTGGGTTTCTCTGACACAACTATGGTGTGTGGGTTTCTCTAACACAACTATGGTGTGTGGGTTTCTCTGACAAAACTATGGTGTGTGGGTTTCTCTGACACAACTATGGTGTGTGGGTTTCTCTGACACAACTATGGTGTGTGGGTTTCTCTGACACAACTATGGTGTGTGGGTTTCTCTGACACAACTATGGTGTGTGGGTTTCTCTGACAAAACTATGGTGTGTGGGTTTCTCTGAAACAACTATGGTGTGTGGGTTTCTCTGACATAACAATGGTGTGTGGGCTTCTCTGACATAACTATGGTGTGTGGGTTTCTCTGACACAACTATGGTGGTGGGTTTCTCTGGCACAACTATGGTGTGTGGGTTTCTCTGACATAACAATGGTGTGTGGGTTTCTCTGACATAACTATGGTGTGTGGGTTTCTCTGACACAACTATGGTGGTGGGTTTCTCTGGCACAACTATGGTGTGTGGGTTTCTCTGACATAACAATGGTGTGTGGGTTTCTCTGACACAACTATGGTGTGTGGGTTTCTCTGACATAACTATGGTGTATGGGTTTCTCTGACACAACTATGGTGTATGGGTTTCTCTGACACAACTATGGTGTGTGGGTTTCTCTGACACAACTATGGTGTAGACTCATTCATTTCTGAGTAAACTCCACCTCCAGTGTAAACTCGTTCATTGCTGAGAAAATTCTGAGTTCAGTGTAGACTCGTTCATTTCTGAGTAAATTCCATGTCCAGTGTAGACTAGTTCATTACAAAGAAAATTCCGAGTTCAGTGTAGACTGGTTCATTTCCGAGTAAACTCCTCGTCCAGTGTAGAGTGGTTCATTTCTGAGTAAACTCCTCGTCCAGTGTTGACTGGTTCATTACAGAGAAAATTCCGAGTTCAGTGTAGACTTGTTCATTTCTGAGTAAATTCTGAGTTCAGTGTAGACTGGTTCATTTCCGAGTAAACTCCTCGTCCAGTGTAGACTGGTTCATTTCCGAGTAAACTCCTCGTCCAGTGTAGACTGGTTCATTACAGAGAAAATTCCGAGTTCAGTGTAGACTGGTTCAATTCAGAGTAAACTCCTCGAACAGTGTAGACTTGTTCATTTCCGAGTAAACTCCTCGTCCAGTGTAGACTTGTTCATTTCCGAGTAAACTCCTCGTCCAGTGTAGACTGGTTCATTACAGAGAAAATTCCGAGTTCAGTGTAGACTTGTTCATTTCTGAGTAAATTCCACGTCTAGTGTAGACTCGATCATTACTGACTGAATTCCTAGTCCAGTGTAGACTTGTTCATTTCCGAGTAAACTCCTCGTCCAGTGAAGACTCGATCATTACTGAGAAAATTCCGAGCAGTGTAGACTCGTTCATTTCTGAGTAAATTCCACGTCTAGTGTAGACTCGTTCATTACTGAGAAAATTCCGAGTTCAGTGTAGACTCGTTCATTTCTGAGTAAATTCCACGTCTAGTGTAGACTCGTTCATTACTAAGTGAATTCCAAATCTTGTGTAGACTCATTTATTTCCGAGTAAACTCCACGTCCAGTGTAGACTCGTTCATTACTGAGTGAATTTTACAAGGTTTTTAAACAATGATGAAGTCAGTCTCAGGCCCACATTCCCTTCATTATCTTTTAAAAAAATGTATGACAGATGACAGTGTCACTGCTTTTTTTGGTCCATATGGGCTTAGTCATTTCTTCATCTTCCTAGCCCTCACTGGCTGTAAACTGCGGCAGAAATTTCTAGACTGGTCTTGTTCCAGAACTTGAGTTTTGCATGCACATCCAGTAGAGCCATCTGGTTTATTTGTAAGCAGACTGCTGACTACCAGCCTCTCAAACAGATGCACCTGGACTGTGGAGAGAGACTGAGCCATATGGAATCAAATCCAGTGCAATGAAATCGATCACCTCGCCTTTACCTGTGAAGGAAGCATCATGAATTAGTAATCTTTTACAACATGCTTGTTAGGGAGGCAGTGGATATATACCCTTCTTCCCCCCCCCCCCCCCCCCCCATTAGGACTTGAAACCCGCAAGGAGATGGGCCCTAATAACAAACAGCTGATATCACCACAGAGAAGACAACAAATGTCCAGGTACTCACAGCTTTCTCTCCTCGTAGCAGTTGTAGATGGCAGCAAGGCACACAGCCACCAAGTTCGGTAGCACTCGAGGATGTGGACATGTGCTGGTAGTGCCATGCATGCTGGCAACATAAACAACCCCTTTAAACATTAGAGCTGAGCTACTTTTTTCAAAACTCAGAAAATGAATTCAAATTTCTTCTAGAAATACTGATTCCATTAAAAATCATGTTATGTATTGCTTCTTGATTCTACTTTTGTATCTCTCAATGTGTGGTTTACAGTCTTTATTTGTTTCTGAACAATTTGTAAAATGCAAAGAATAACAAGCTAAAACTGCATTTTATCAAATGTAAAATATTGTATGCAATCAATCATGATGAAAGTATCAACTATCACAAACAAGCCATTGGTACTAATTATCAGAGACAAACAAGCCACTGGTACTAGCTATTACACACAAATACAAAAGCTGCAAGAGATATAATATTAAAAAGAGATCCCTACCTCTTCACCAAAGCCCGCACTACTTTCAAACCATCATTCTGACAGTTCAAGGCTTGAATGTATTCTTGTACAAAAGTTCTCATGCGGGGATACTTGCCAAAGTCCTGTTAGACAAAGTATGGATTTCATTAGCTGCCCTTTTTTTACCGTGTGTCTACATATCAAAATATAGCACTATTTGATTACATGGAAGAAAGGCAGCAGAAAAAGAACACATCAAATCAGTTAAATCATCCTGCTCAAGATCACAAATATCATACAACAAAAGTATATTACAAAGCTGTTGTCTTTTGCCCTGCTGCTTATGCCGTAAAGCGTCAGAGAGGAGACTGAAGTAGTTTCCTGTCTTCTGTAAGCTGCACAGCTTGTGGTACTGTCAGTGTTTTTCTGCTGTGTCTCTTTTACTCCCGCCACCCAACTCTTTCTTTGTCAGCCTTCTCATCAGTAGCAGCTGTTCTTATGCAGTACGCTGTTGCTGGTGGCTGATACAAGTTCTATTTTAACCAGAGGACCAAACCATCTGATTCTCTGTTGTTTCTACTAAATCATTTACTGGGACGGAGCCTACCACTGTTCTTAGTTCTTCATTGGTAAAAGCTGTCTTGACCGCATATATATTCACCTCTTTTATGGTGGTGTAGATCAGGTGGTCTTGAGCCTAAGGATATAAGGTCACATGCTTGTTCGGTCATCATGGAGTGTGCAGATTCAGTTTTTATCTATATTCCCCTGACAGAAATAAAATCTTCACCCCTTTCCAAGGATCAAACCCAATTCTCCCAGAAATAACCCAGAATCCTAACCCCTTGGCAAGAACCTCCTGAGCGAAAACATAACTGAAGAAGAAAAAAGTACAGCACCGTTCAAATCTTTTTGAAAGCTACAAATAAAAATAAAAAGCAGTCTTGTCAGATGGAGGTTGGGCAGCGCAGATTCATTTCTGAAACAAGATCAAAGTCCAGAAGTGGACGAACAGCCAGAAATTTCTACTGGGGTTTACAGCTGATAAACATTGATAAAGAAACAGGGAAAAGAAGATATGCATTAGGCATCACTGGCATTAAAAGAATTCTGGACTTTTACTTCAGACACCAAAACATACAAGACACTTGAGCAGGCAAGTGTGTGAAATGGGAGAGCTGGCAAGGGACTGAATCTCTTTCAGACTGACGGGAACAACATTTGTAAAGGACCAGCTACATACATGACGATAACAATAATGATACAACAACAAAAACTCTAAATACAGAAGAAGAAAAAATAGATCTAAGGAACCAAAATAAAGACAGACATGCAAACTTACAGAAACTACATACACATACGAAACAGACAGCAATTAAAATCCAGACCACACAAACTATGGGGAGTCCCCCTCCCCCCCCCCCCCTCCCCCCCCCCCCCCCCCCCCCACCCCGCTTTTTTTTCTTTTCTTTTTTTTATATAGAATCAGTAAAATCCACAAGGATCCAATGTCATGAACAAACCCTATGAGATTAGCAGAACCCAACATACTCAACCAAGAACATTACACTTGACCAGCTCCTCCCAGGGCTTAAGAACCTCAGAACTGTGCTCACAAAAAGGGGAAGGAGGTCCGATGTGATTTCATACTATCTCTCTTACTTTCCACTTGTATCTTTTTCTATCTCTCCCACTCCATTTCTTTCATTTCCACTTCTCATTCTATCATCATTATCTGTCCCTGACCAACTTCATTTCCTAAACACTTTCAAATTATCTTTTTTTAATTTATTTGTTATTCTCCCTTCCTGCATTCCTTTACCCTTCCCTGTTCATCAGTCTTCTCCCTTCTTGCCCTTGGTGACCTAGAAAGGAATGCATTTCTAAGAACAAGCCAATTTAGACAGATGAGAGCCCAGTTAATTAAGTTTTCCATTTCTAGGTCAATGACTAGAGAACATTCAAGGCAGGGCTGGCTTCAATTCATCTTCAGATGTTTGGAGAGGGAGAGAGGGGGGAAGAGATAGTGTGGGAATAGAGAGAGGGGAAAGAGATAGTGTGGGAAGAGGGAGAGGGGGGGGGAGAGAGAGAATCATGAAAATACTGAAAAGATGAAGGACAGAGAATTACAGAGAGGTAGAAAAGAGTCATAAATGAATGGTGAATTTATCAAACGGTGGAAAAAATTCGCAAGTGAGAGGGAGGAAGATAGAAACAAAAATATGAAAGCAGAAGGGAAGTAGGGTGAGTGTTAAGATGAAAATCATTGAGGGGAGGGGAGGAGGGGGGGGGGGGTACTGGGTGAAAAAAACTATACAAAAAGGGAGAAAGAAGGGAGGGTGGAAGAAATGGAGGAATTAAGGGAAGGAGGTGGAATAAATGGATAGCGAGAGAAGAATGAAAAAGAAAGAATGCTAAGAAAGAAGGAATAAAATATAGGAAGAGGGAGAGGAGAGGAGTAAATGGAAAAAGAGGAATGGGTGTAAGCAGCACAGAGTTGCCAAAATTATAAACGCATGATGAACATTATTTTTTGCTACATCTCTTCTTTTTAAACAAGTTATTCAACAGCCAAGAATTCAATAAATTTATCGTTTGCAGGCAGGTTTTTTTTTTTTTCAACCTGAACTTCAAGAACACAGAATTGTGCCTAGACACAGTGGGCCAGCGAGGTTAACAAAATCAATAGCATCATATTAAATGAAGCAAACACACACATGATTAGAACAGCTCTTCCTGAAGCTGTTATTGAAGGTCAATGTGAACAGAGACACGTCTGACAGGCTGCCTGGAGACTGAATGCTAACTTTAGGCTCTAGAATTCTTCCTCCATACATCATCCATACATGAATTCACATACACGGAAAATTATGTAAATTATATGGCAGTCATTCTTATAAGTCTGGGGCACCACTAGAGCCAATACTCCTCTTCTCTTGCTTTTCATCTTCCAATAGTGCATAGGTTTACATACAACGTATAACATACTCCAAAATGGATGCTAGCCATGGTCACTGTTGTGAGCCGTGGCAAATTTTTTTGCTTCTGCCAGACAGTGGCCGGTGCATTTTTGCTCCATTTGTAGACTGAAAGGATAGTTTTGTCGCCCAGCTTCTGAGCTGAGTGCATGGCGTGACACTGTGAGCTGCGGATTTCATTAAGAATGTTTTTCTACTGTGACCAACGTGGTGGTGTAAATTATAGATTCAGAAAATGGTGCGATGCTTGTTGTCGCAATATTGGTGGTGCCATTATGTGATTAAAATTGATCGCGTGTGCTGATCTGTTGGTGACTTCTACCAACAATGATAAACTGCATTTCTAATGTCGGACTGTTTGTGTTAGCACTTCGGATGGCTATCATATGCTTTTAATGCGTGTGTATGCTAGTGTGTATGCTGAGACAGCAGTCTGTCAATCTTTCCACAAGGGACTGTGAAAAACATGCAGTGTATTTTTCATTGGCATCGGAGTGGAGCAAATATAGGGTGACCCATTTAAAGCTGAAACTAAGATTACCGGATTACCAGATGTGTGCATTATTGATCCATTGTGCCCTCAACACAACTCCTAAAGTCTTTTAGCCTCTTGTTCAAGCTCACATCCCCTACACATGGTGGACACTGCCCTCAGTAATGCAGTGAAAATTTGGGGTTTCAACCACAAAAAGAAAAGAAACTGGATAGGGCACCACGTGAGGTAAAGCCAAAGTGTGGTTTCCTTGACCAGCTACAAAGTGTATGGTTGACTCTAAACTGTGGATTTCATGTGGAATGCACTGCATCTGTGCTACTGGAGATTTGTGTTGCAGAAAATGCAAGGTGGGTGGTTGCCAAAGAACTGGCTAGAGGCAGAATGCAGTAATGTATGTACACCTACTGGTTTGTCATGACTGCTGCTTCCTTCAACTGAACTACAATTTCAGTGTTGGCACTCCTGCTGACTGCCTTATGCATCTTACTCATGATTGGTTGGATTTTTGTAGCTAAGGTTTTTATTAAATTAGGTGGCCAGCCTCAAACCAACTCTCTTTAGTCACCTCATATGATGTGCATTGGTAAATTATAGTGCTACTATTCTGTTTTCATTATGGATGCCCCTGTCACAAGAAAAACCCCTTATTTCCACTAGGTTCAGAAAACCTATCACTGCTAGAGTACCTAGTCCCAATCCCCACCAGTTTCAGAAACCCTGTCTCTGCTAGAGTACCTGGACCCCATCCCCACCAGTTTTAGAAACCCTGTGTCTGCTAGAGTGCAAAGTCCTAATCTCCACCAGTTTCAGTACCCCGTCACTGCTAGATTGCTAAATCTCAATCCCTACCAGTTTCAGAAACCCCTCAGTGCTTCAGTGCCTAGTCGCACCCGTTTCAGAAACCCTGCCACTGCTGCAGTGCTTGAACCCAGTCTGCACCAGTTTCATAAGTGGGATGTTTTCATCAAGTACATCTCTGAGGTCAACTCAACATGGGTGTATTAGATCATCTTCTTCCCGTTGACTGGCTGTGAACTCTGGTGGAAATTTTCAATTGTTTACCCACTTCCAGACTCAGACCTCGACTTCTGCCACTTTACATCTGGCTTGTATGTCATGCAGAATGTTGATTCCTTGCCTCTCAGGCAGACGTACTCGACTTCGAAGGAAACACCCCTAACTAGTCCACTAAAACAACATATTTGTTAGGGGAAGCAGTGGGTCTATTCGTTCCCCCCCCCCCTTTTGAAATGGGGTCCAGGAACCCACATGGGGCAGCATGAAACATATGATGCTACCAACATTTCGCAGATGAACCAGTACTTGGTGGATTATGTGGTCAACATGGCTGCCTTTACTTGCAGAGTTTCTGACTTATAGTGTATGATTTTGGTTTGTGTCTTCTGAGAAAAAAACAACAGGAAGGCTGAGATGACACCGATTTCTGCATTACATAAACTGGGAGACAAATGACATAATAATTAATGAAGATGATGATGAAGAAGAAGAAGCTGATATTGAAGAAAGCATTTAAGTTAGTCGCGTATCCTTCACTGGACATTGCAGAACCAATCCTGGTATTAGGTTTTGGATTTTTTAATTTTACTTTGCAATTTTATATTCAGTAGTTTGCCACAGCTTTCTGAGGGGGCAGCTCTCAATACCACTGTTGAAAAAAACACAGGGCACTCTGCTGCCAAATTGCTAGCAGCTGGAATCCAACCAGGCAATAAGAATTACGAACCATCTAAAGCACAGATATGGCCTGTGGAGTCACGATGTGGCATGTGGGGTCAGATGTGGCTTGTGGGGTCAGGTGTGGAATATGGAATAAGGTGTGGCCTGTTGGGTCAGGTGTGACCTGTGGAGTCAGGGGTGGCCTGTGGGGCAGAGTGCGGCCTGAGGTGTCACATGTGGTCTGTGGAGTCAGGGGTGGCCTGTGGGGCAAGGTGCGGACTGAGGTGTCACATGTGGTCTGTGGAGTCAGGGGTGGCCTGTGGGGCAGAGTGCAGTCTGAGGTGTCTCATGTGGTCTGTGGAGTCAGGGGTGGCCTTTGGGGCAAGGTGCAGCCTGAGGTGTCACATGTGGTCTGTGGAGTCAGGGGTGGCCTGTGGGGCAAGGTGCAGCCTGAGGTGTCACATGTGGTCTGTGGAGTGAATTGTAGCTGTGCCGTCAGGTGGGGATTGTGGAGTCAGGTGTGACTGTGCAGTCAGGTATGACCTATAGTCAGGTCAGGCTGTGCAGTCAGGTATGACCTATAGTCAGGTATGGCTGTGCATTCATGTATGACCTATAATCAGGTCAGGCGGTGCATTCAGGTATGACCTATAGTCAGGTGTGGCTGTGCAGTCAAGTATGACCTATAGTCAGGTGTGGCTGTGCAGTCAGGTATGACCTATAGTCAGGTGTGGCTGTGCAGTCAGGTATGACCTACAGTCAGGTGTGGCTGTGCATTCACGAATGACCTATAGTTAGGTCAGGCTGTGCAGTCAGGTATGACCTATAGTCAGGCCAGGCTGTGCAGTCAGGTATGACCTATAGTCAGGGCAGGCTGTGCAGTCAGGTATGACCTACAGTCAGGTGTGGCTGTGCAGTCAGGTATGACCTATAGTCAGGTCAACCTGTGCAGTCAGATATGACCTATAGTCAGGTCAGGCTGTGCAGTCAGGTATGACCTCTAGTCAGGTGTGGCTGTGCAGTCAGGTATGACCTATAGTCAGGTCAGGCTGTGCAGTCAGGTATCACCTATAGTCAGGTCAGGCTGTGCAGTCAGGAATGACCTATAGTCAGGTGTGGCTGTGCAGTCAGGTATGACCTATATTTAGGTGTGGCTGTGCAGTCAGGTATGACCTCTAGTCAGGTGTGGTTGTGCATTCATGTATGACCTATAGTCAGGTCAGGCTGTGCAGTCAGGTATGACCTATAGTCAGGTCAGGCTGTGCAGTCAGGTATGACCTATAGTCAGGTCAGGCTGTGCAGTCAGGTATGACCTATAGTCAGGTGTGGCTGTGCAGTCAGGTATGACCTATAGTCAGGTCAACCTGTGCAGTCAGGTATGACCTATAGTCAGGTCAGGCTGTGCAGTCAGGTATGACCTATAGTCAGGTGTGGCTGTGCAGTCAGGTATGACCTATAGTCAGGTCAGGCTGTGCAGTCAGGTATGACCTATAGTCAGGTCAGGCTGTGCAGTCAGGTATGACGTATAGTCAGGTCAGGCTGTGCAGTCAGGTATGACCTATAGTCAGGTGTGGCTTTGCAGTCAGGTATGACCTATACTCAGGTCAAGCTGTGCAGTCAGATATGACCTATAGTCAGGAGTGGCTGTGCAGTCAGGTATGACCTATAGTTAGGTGAGAGCTTGTGACAGCAGGCAGCTAGTAGACCATGCCCCTCCCCTCTCTCCCACATGAAATACTTACTGTGTTATGTTTGAGTATCCTGTGGACTACAGGAGTAAACAGTTCTATGACTAGTGTGGAGCGTGGACTGTTCTTGCAGTGCTGAAACCAACAGACAGGATGCACTTTATTACCTGTTTCATCCAAAGGGAAGACTAGGCGACCAGGCTGACCCAGCCTAAAATGGGTCAATGAAAACTCTTGGGAAGTAAAAGTGGCTGGCATGATGTTAACCACATCATGTGTTGAGTGCTGACTCATCTAACTGGTCTATTAAAAATATGTGTCCAGCATGCCATGGCAACTGCACCACTGCAGTGAAGAGGCTGCTTCAATTATGTTTGTACTGGGGGGGATGGTTAAGGACTATAGCAAAAAGATAAGACATATTTTTATTACTTTCTTCTTCTTCACTACCTCTCCTATTGCTTCTGATGTTAAGGGCAACATAAGATTCTGCTTCTTGCTCTTCTAGTCGTCACAACCATAGACACATTGTAGTGTTTCTCTGAAGTTACTTTTCCATCTTGTTCTTGGTCTACTTGGTGCTCTACATCCTTCTCCTCTTGTGGTGTATGCCTTGTATGGTATTTTTCTTTCTTTGTGGGCAAACTATTTTATTTGTAATTTTGACTGGTTCTCTGCTGGGTTTCCCCCCCCCCCCCCCCTTATGACCTCATTTCCTGATTTATCTCTTCTGGTCACTCCTGCAGCCCTTCTCAGACATCTCGTTTCCATGGTTACTAATATTCTTTTTAGCTATGATGTGGGTAACCATGTCTGGCAATGGTAGCAGAGGAGAGGGATCAATCTGCTCTGTATGAGACGTCTCTTTGTGATGACTGGGACTGTCCTATAAACTTCCCTGGATACAAATATACACAGGAAGTTAAAAGATAATCCCATAGTAGATTGGGTCTGTCATGGTAGGCTTTAAGATAATGTATGTCAAAACAATATGAAGTAGGCTGGATACTTTATATTTTGTATCTCTGTCTTGCCTTTCCAGAAAATTCTGGACTTCTGATACTAACTGCTTTAAAACCTAGTTGACCCCAGAGCAATATTGGTCATTAACGAAACAAATAATTCTACTGTTGCTGAGGACTGAACCAGGGTTAGTGTACTGGCAGGCAAGAGTACTAATCACTATGCTGCTAGCAGTGAGAGGGTTTTGAAACTGGTGGGGGACTGAGGCTAGGCACTCTAGCAGTGACAGGGCTACCGAAACTGGTGGAATAGGGACCACTATGCCACTGCAGCCACCAACAAATATACTGATCTTGTAAACAAAGAAACTATGGGACACCCTTCTCTTCCTCCTCCAGCCATGTTTTGCCTTTCAGCATCAGGTTTTGAAGAGGCATCGAGTACGAGCCGTGATATGTGTTATGTTACGGCCCTCGGATATTACATCTCCACGTCCCTTGCATGGTAAACCTCTGGCTCTGCTTCCATTATGTCTAAATGACAGAGCTCTCTGTGGTGCAGTGTGTGGTGGTAGGCTCCAGACATGTCCAAACCACTTGATCTGTTGTCTTCTGATGTAGTGTAGTACTTGTTATATCATAACCTGTTTCGCGATATCAATTCAATTCAATTCGTAAGAAACAAAAATTCCAAAATTTGACCTCTTTCAGCTGCCTGAAGTCGGTTCAATGGTGGTGTGATTTGTATTTATTCCTTGCGGCGATCATTCTCGCCTGAGTTTTCTTGTATTTGTTGCGTCTTGTTAGCAGCGTGGGCTTGGCGGGCGGCTTGCAAGTTTAGGGAGTGGGCGTGGCTGTCCTGAGAAGGACAGCCACCTGTGCCGGGTGGCCTGGAACGGGATGGGTGGGGTATAGCTTCTGCAGCAGTCAGGTTCTGGTGGTGTCCGGATGGTCTTGCGCGGGTGGGTTTTCCAGTACGGTGAGCTGGGTCGGTGTCATGGCGGCTGTGGTCAGTTCTGGTTGGCTATTGGCTGCATGGTTTCGCTTAATTCCCTTCGAGCAGCGTTTAGAAGATTGAGGGCTATGCCTGCTTGATACATCATCCTTTTGTTTTTGTCTCGTTTGGCTCTGAGAGTTGCGGTTGGGAGTAATCGCTCCCTTGCGAGTTCTTCCTTGCAGAACTGTATTCTGTATTTGCCAACGCCCAGCTCGAGTCGATGGGGGTGCATCCGCTGGTTAAAATCATCGAGCATTTCTTGTAGGCTGACTTCTCTGTCCGCTATGTCCTTCAATGCAGCCGCGTGTACGGGATCGCAGTTCTGGTTCGTGGATTGTACAGCTTCCTGTTCCTCTTCTTCATCTCCTTGAGAATCTTCTTCTTCTGCTATGACTAGGATCCCTTCAGAGTCTTCTTCATTGGAATCATCATGTACTGGTTCGGTCATTTGTGCCTGATGCTTCGTTGTTAGGTTGTCAGTGGAGACGCTTTTGTCGGCCTTGTTGGTATTCGGCTTTTTTGTGGCATTTCTTTCTTTCTCCAGCAGGGCTCTTTCTGTCTTAGCTGCTTGTGCTGCTGTTATGGCTTCTGCGGTGGCTTTCTCTAGTTTGGCGGCTTCGTGGCATGCGGCTTCCCGTGCGTTTGTAATCTCGGCCAGCTCCTTCCTTCTCTCCTCTCTCTCTGACTGGCGGCGTATTTCTTCTTCTGCTTGGGTTGCTCTGATGCTGGCGATATCATCATTTCTAATCCTGTCTCTTCTGGTTACATTTATGATTCCTGGTAGACACTTTATTTCTGGTGTCAAGTGTTTTTCTGTGGGCACCCTGCAGTTACAAACTAACATGCAGACCAGTGTGTGTGGGCAATGATAACTTAATACTCCCCGACTGTTCAACAATTTACATTGGTTGTCTCCATTAAACAGGATATGGTGCAATTATTCAGAGAGAAAATATCAGAATAAGATATGGTTATTTGGGGGAAAGGATTTAAGGAAATATGATTATAGGATATTATCAGCAAATATTGTGGTTTTTGGATAAGAATATAAGGTAAAAGTAATTGTTACTTGAGAAAATATCAGGAAATGTAATGGTTAACTGCACAGAAAATATCATGAAGCATAGTGGCTATCAGAGGAAATGTAGTGGTTAACTGCATAGAGAATATCAGGAAATATAGTGGTTAACTGCACAGACACTATCAGGAAATATTATAGTTAACTGCATAGAGGATATCAGGAAATATAGTGGTTAACTGCATAGAGAATATCAGGAAATATTATAGTTAACTGCATAGAGAATATCAGGAAATATAGTGGTTAACTGCACAGAGAATATCAGGAAATGTAACAGTTAACTGCATAGAGAATATCAGGAAATATAGTGGTTAACTGCATAGAGACTATCAGGAAATATAGTGGTTAACTGCATAGAGATATATCAGGAAATGTAACGGTTAACTGCATAGAGAATATCAGGAAATGTAACGGTTAACTGCATAGAGAATATCAGGAAATGTAACGGTTAACTGCATAGAGACTATCAGGAAATATAGTGGTTAACTGCATAGAGACTATCAGGAAATATAGTGGTTAACTGCACAGAGAATATCAGGAAATGTAACAGTTAACTGCATAGAGAATATCAGGAAATATAGTGGTTAACCGCATAGAGAATATCATGAAAAATTGTAGTTAACTGCACGGAGAATATCAGGAAATATAGTGGTTAACTGCATAGAGAATATCAGGAAATATAGTGGATAACCGCATAGAGAATATCATAAAATATTGTAGTTAACTGCACAGAGAATATCAGGAAATGTAACAGTTAACTACATAGAGAATATCAGGAACTGTAACGGTTAACTACATCAGGAACTGTAGTGGTTAACTGCATAGAGAATATAAGAAAGCATAGTGGCTATCAGAGGAGAAAATATAAAGTACAAGTGAAGGACCGTTTTCCACACCTTTAGGTATTGGGTACATTGGTCTAGACCTATATTTTATACACTGAACGGCACTTGGTGTGTGATGTCGTCAGCATCACACTGGCTAACTTTACTTCCTAGGACTCTACCTGGTACCCACTCATGGCTGGGTCAACCTGGGAGAGAATATAAAGACAATGGGTTTTTTTTTTCAAGCTGACGCTGATATTAGGTAAACACAAAACATGGTAAACGCACCTTGCTGAAAAATTCGCAGATCTCCTGCGTGGGGTGGTTTTTCTCTAGTAACGGAGTCAGGGCTATGATAATGCTCTCCTGCAACTCCTTGCTCAAAAATTCATCGTTCTGGGGACAAGAAATCAACCAATCAAACAACAGCATTTCACATGACAATTATCTTAAAACAGCTGAAGACAGAATGAGGAAAAGAGGAAGAGAAAACCCGAGAGGCTGACAAAGAGACAGAGAAACAGAAAAAAACAGTAAGAGGTGATTTAAGGTCAGGCACATATACAGAACAGACAGACAATGAAGTCGACAGGTAAATGATAGATAGATAAATACAGAGATAATATACATATTAACTGGCTGTCACCCAAAAATAACAATAAATGATGAAGAAACTGAAAATGTCACAAACTTTGAATATCTAGGCTCTATAATAAACAGCAATGGAGACTGTTTGACAGAAATTAAAAGGAGGATGGCCATAGCAATGCAAAGATTGAACAGCCTTAAAAGTCTATGGTTAAGCACCAGCAAGGAGATCAAAATTAGAATTTTGAGAGCATGCATCTTCCCTGTGGCTACATACGGATGTGAAAAGTGGAATATCTCTCAGTCCTTAAGAAAGAGAATAGGGGCTTTTGAGCTGAAATGCTATAGAAAGATTCTCAGAATATCTTTGACAAAGAAAAGGAGAAAAAATGACATCTTGAAAGATCTGAACATCAAGGAAGATTGGCTAATAACAGCATCCTGTCTTGGAAGCTGAAATATTTTGGTCATGTCAAGCGCCACAACGGATTGGACAAAATTATAGCAGAAGGCATGGTACCAGGAAGGAGAAGCAGGGGCCGACCGACACGAAGATGGGTACAGGATATAAGTGACTCCTTGAGTATGAAAGTACATGAGGCGGGTGGGAGAACTGGCGAGAGACCGAGTTTCTTTCAGGCAGACTGTGATGATAGCGTCGTTCTGAAAAGGACCTGCTACATGATGATAATGATGATATAGATTGGAGCAGTAAAATTAAAAATGGAGGCAATTGTAGGTTAATTTCTGTGCCAACCATGCGTCACACAAGACCAAACGTCTTGTTTTCACCACAACAGTTCTGTTTTTTTCTGTGTGTCCCGTCATCCCTTCGGCATTCCAAAAAATAAACGTCAATTGTCCTGTTTTATTCAGAAAATCTAGGAATAAGCTTGAAAATAAAACATACACTATTATATCTGTGCCCTTTTAAGATTTCATAGCCTCTAATACTTGAAATGCCTTGAATGTAATAATGGCTAATGGGGAAGAAAATGAAGATGAGATATTCTAAATGAGTGTTATCTATACGATACCATGAATAAGTGTTATCTATACGATACCATGAATAAGTGTTATCTATACGAGACCATGAATAAGTGTTATCTATACGATACCATGAATAAGTGTTATCTATACGAGACCATGAATAAGTGTTATCTATACGAGACCATGAATAAGTGTTATCTATACGATACCATGAATAAGTGTTATCTATACGATACCATGAATAAGTGTTATCTATACGATACCATGAATAAGTGTTATCTATACGAGACCATGAATAAGTGTTATCTATACGATACCATGAATAAGTGTTATCTATACAATACCATGAATAAGTGTTATCTGTACAATACCATGAATAAGTGTTATCTATACAATACCATGAATAAGTGTTATCTATACGAGACCATGAATAAGTGTTATCTATACAATACCATGAATAAGTTATCTATACAATACCATGAATAAGTGTTATCTATACAATACCATGAATAAGTGTTATCTATACAATACCATGAATAAGTGTTATCTATACAATACCATGAATAAGTGTTATCTATACGATACCATGAATAAGTGTTATCTATACAATACCATGAATAAGTGTTATCTATACGATACCATGAATAAGTGTTATCTATACAATACCATGAATAAGTGTTATCTATACAATACCATGAATAAGTGTTATCTATACGATACCATGAATAAGTGTTATCTATACGATACCATGAATAAGTGTTATCTATACAATACCATGAATAAGTGTTATCTATACGATACCATGAATAAGTGTTATCTATACGATACCATGAATAAGTGTTATCTATACGATACCATGAATAAGTGTTATCTATACAATACCATGAATAAGTGTTATCTATACGATACCATGAATAAGTGTTATCTATACAATACCATGAATAAGTGTTATCTATACGATACCATGAATAAGTGTTATCTATACGATACCATGAATAAGTGTTATCTATACAATACCATGAATAAGTGTTATCTATATAGGATGACACAGAAGAGATAGGACTGGTGTTCTGAGAGGGGCAGGTCTCTACAGTGAGCCAGCCAAACTCATGTGTACAATGTTAGCTAGGGCCTCAAGTCTTGTGGTCGGGGGAAAGGCTGTGACAAACACAGAACTTAACTCTTGTGCTGTGAAAGTTGAAGGGGGAGGGGGAGGAAAATGGGATGTGAACTGACTTACTTGTGATGTTAAGTTTTCACTCAAAATATTAACTGGATGCCCCATTTTCACTCAAAATACTAGTTAAATGTCCCGTTTTACTCTCAAAATATATGTTGGAATCCCGTTTTCACTCAAAATATTAGTTGGATGTCCTGTTTTCAGCTCAAGATATCATGGTCACCCTAGTATAAATATATATACATTTGTTTAAGGGGGTAGGGATGGGACATGTAGAGTGCTATGTCACGAGATCTGCTGCCAAAATAATAATAACAAAAAATTAACTTTTTTTCTCAACCTCGATCATACACAACTCGAAGAAATATAATGAATTCTCCCAGTGCACTTAACAGGAGGGAGAAATCAATGACACAAGTTCAGAGACCTCTTTTATGCCTAGAGATATATGGGCACACTGTGCTTTTTAAATTTGTATACACAATTTAGCACTTGTCACCCCGGTTGCTTCTATTTATTAAGAAACTTCTTTATTTGAATCACAGGTCAATTTTTTTTTGAACACCCAAATGCCACAGAATGCGGCAGATAAACCACACTTTCAGGCATTAAGAATTTCTGAAAGAACGTTAGGGACTGACTTATATGATGGGTATCAAATGTGTCAAGTAGGTATAGATCTAAGTCTCAAAATCCTGAGGTCAACTTGTAAATTAAGTAAAGGTTCCTTTTCATGCCTTTAGGCGTATAGGGATATAGGGCTAGACCTATATTTTTATAGATCAATCGGCACAAAATGGGTAATGTGGTCAGTATCACGCCCGCCACCTTTACTTCCCGGGACTGCACCCGGTACCCAACTCAAGGCTGGGTTGACCTGGGAGTCGGGGCCATTTTTTTTTCAAAAAAGTCTGTCTCTGCCAGGGAGAAAACCCACGACCTTCCGATCTGCTTGCGAGCATCTAGCCGCTACGTTACTGCGACTTCTGAGGTCAACTTGTACATTAGGTCAACTTGTACATCAGGTGGATTTTAAAACCAGTCCCAGTCTACGTGTCCACCAAGTACACAAGGTCACTTGTACGCCATAATTTTCAACAGACTTGAACCCAGGACCATGTGGCTGACAGGCAAGGATACTAGCCACCATACTACAAGGGCTCTGTCACAAACTGAAGGCTACAGAGAAAAGTAATTCATGTCAGGATGACCTACCTGTTGAAGCAAATCTGAAACTAGGTCAAGGGGAAACCTGTACACGGAAGGGTCCTGGATTGGGGTCATCAGGGAGCCATCAATCAAATTCTGTGAAGTCAAAGGTCACATGCACTTTTGAAAGATACAACTTTGCAATTAGGAACAAGATAAAATGTGCCATTAGCAACAAGATAAAACTTTGCAATTAGGAACAAACCTTACATTCTTTTACTGCTGCCTGTGTGGCAGGTCGTGGGTGTATGTAGCTTGGGGGGTATGTAGCTTGGCACGTATGTAGCTTGGCACGTACATAGCTTGGGGTGTATGTAGCTTGGCATGTACATAGCTTGGGGTGTATGTAGCTTGGCATGTACATAGCTTGGGGTGTATGTAGCTTGGCATGTACATAGCTTGGGGTGTATGTAGCTTGGCACGTACATAGCTTGGGGTGTATGTAGCTTGGCACGTACATAGCTTGGGGTGTATGTAGCTTGGCATGTACATAGCTTGGGGTGTATGTAGCTTGGCATGTACATAGCTTGGGGTGTATGTAGCTTGGCATGTACATAGCTTGGGGTGTATGTAGCTTGGCACGTACATAGCTTGGGGTGTATGTAGCTTGGCACGTACATAGCTTGGGGTGTATGTAGCTTGGCATGTACATAGCTTGGCGTGTACGTAGCTTGGGGTGTACGTAGCCTGGAGTGTACGTAGCCTGGAGTGTATGTAGCCTGGAGTGTATGTAGCCTGGAGTGTATGTAGCCTGGGGTGTATGTAGCTTGGGGTGTATGTAGCTTGGCATGTACATAGCTTGGGGTGTATGTAGCATGGGGCGTATGTAGCTTGGCACGTACATAGCTTGGGGTCTATGTAGCTTGGCGTGTACATACCTTAGGGTGTATGTAGCTTGGCGCGTAGGTAGCTTGGGGCATAGGTAGCTTGGGGCATAGGTAGCTTGGCAAGGTTGTAGCTTGGCACGGTTGTAGCTTGGCACGGTTGTAGCTTGGCGTGAATGTAGCTTGGCGTGAATGTAGCTTGGCGTCAATGTAGCTTGGCGTGAATGTAGCTTGGCGTGAATGTAGCTTGGCGTGAATGTAGCTTGGCGTGAATGTAGCTTGGCGTGAATGTAGCTTGGCGTGAATGTAGCTTGGCGTGAATGTAGCTTGGCGTGAATGTAGCTTGGCGTGTATGTAGCTTGGCGTGTATGTAGCTTGGCGTGTATGTAGCTTGGCGTGTATGTAGCTTGGCGTGTATGTAGCTTGGCATGTAAGAAGCTTGGCGTGTAAGAAGCTTGGCGTGTATGTAGCTTGGCGTGTATGTAGCTTGGCGTGTATGTAGCTTGGCATGTATGTAGCTTGGCATGTATGTAGCTTGGCATGTATGTAGCTTGGCATGTATGTAGCTTGGCATGTATGTAGCTTGGCGTGTATGTAGCTTGGCGTGTATGTAGCTTGGCGTGTATGTAGCTTGGCGTGTATGTAGCTTGGCATGTATGTAGCTTGGCATGTATGTAGCTTGGCGTGTATGTAGCTTGGCGTGTATGTAGCTTGGCGTGTATGTAGCTTGGCGTGTATGTAGCTTGGCGTGTATGTAGCTTGGCATGTATGTAGCTTGGCATGTATGTAGCTTGGCATGTATGTAGCTTGGCATGTATGTAGCTTGGCATGTATGTAGCTTGGCATGTATGTAGCTTGGCATGTATGTAGCTTGGCATGTATGTAGATTGGCATGTAGGAAGCTTGGCGTGTATGTAGCTAGGCATGTATGTAGATTGGCATGTATGTAGCTTAGTGTGTACGCTATGAGCCCGCTCTGAGCTAATTTCGACAATGGCATGGATAGCTGACTATTCAGAAAAGCAAAGACAAGATTGAAGCCAAAAGCAAGGCCTAAATAGGAACAGTATACTCATCCACAAAAGGTACTGTCAGCTGATGCACAATAAGGGATACAGTGAGAGGGATCCATGCACTTATGGATCATCTTGTTTGTTTGTTTTGTTTTGTTTGCTTTCACCGGCTGTAAACCCCAGCAGAAAGACCTGGTTTTTCGTCCATTCCTGGACTTGAGCTTTGTTCCAGGCCCTGAGTTTTGCAAGTTCCTCCATTTTACATATCTTGCTTATTTGTATATAGACTGTTGGTTCCTTGCCTCACGGGCAGATGTATGCCGACTTCTAGAGAAGACCAGCTGGTTCAATGTACAGTGAGAAAAATATGACAACTAATAATCGACTATTATAGAAAACATACTAACCTTAATTTCTTTCACCAAAATTTCTGGTCGCCTGGCGTTCTTGAGTAACCTCTCAGATCTAAAAATGTGTCTCTAAGATGAGGAGAGACAAGAAAAACATTGCTATTTGTTTTTTGAAGGTTTATGGCAAATTATTTTCTCATTTGTTTCAGTTAGTTGGTGTGCTGCTGTTCTAGTAATGTCTACAAAAGTATTGAGGTTTCTTGGATTCCACTGCTGGATTTGACAGCTTGTTGTTCTTGATAGTCTACACTGATCTCAAACAGATCATAACAGTCTGAGGAGAATGGTGCTGCAGAGATTTACCAGGTGGTTTGACCAATGCTTAACACTCAAGAGAAAGCAAGACGGACAATACCACTGGAATTGGAACTCTTCGTTGCTGCTGAATATGGGGACCGAGCGCTTATGGGAGTGTCCAGAGTGCCATAACGTTGATTCTTAATTCAACATTCAAGTCTACACTGGGTGCAGATTGGATATAAGGAGATCAAATGTATTATCTTGAAAACAAAACTCGGAATATATAAGAGGATGGACATTCAGAAATTAAAGCACTAAGTTTTTCTGACCTTATAATGAATACAGAAGCATGGGCTTTGCAAACTTTAAATATTACATGCTCTGACGGGGTGCACAAAACTGCACCACAACCAGCCAAATTACAGCAGCCCAATACCACTGAAATAAAGCATGTTAGCAACTTGCATTATAAGAGAAAATTGTGTTAAGAATATCTTACTGCAGAGGAGAAGAAACATTCACAAGCATCTAAGTGATGTGTATAGAAATTCTGCAGTTGGCAGGAGTAAAGTCAATGGCTGGGTTTAGAGAATCAAAGAATCAGGAAGTGGAGAAAGGGAGCTGCTTCATCAACTAGGCTGTGGATGTCCTGCCATAGCCACCAATGAAGAAATGCTGAAATGCCAAGAGGACATGATTCTTACCGACAACAGAACCACTACTTAACCAATAGTCTCACAGCTGTCAGTCAGCGATGGAAGTGCAAATGCAGTTACAAAAGATTTCTTTCAGGTTTGCCCAAGATGGGTTCCCTGACCTCTCAAGTCACCATCAGCTGCAAAAGAAAGCAATTTATCCTGAACTGTTGGAGCGTTTCAATGCTGATGGAGATAACTTTTTCGGCTAAGATTGTTACAGATGACAAAACCGAGGCACATCATTTTGAACCTGAGACAAAAAAGACTGTCAATGGAGGGGCATCATCCATATTCACCAAAAATAAAGGCGTTCAAGACAATTTTAGCTGGAAAGGTCATGATCACTGTATTCTGGGACAAAAGATGTTATGTCAAGAAGAGAGACAATCAAATCGTAAGCTTACATTAAGACCTGGAAGGTGCAATTCTTATGTATGTTACGCCAAGTAGAGAGACAATCAAATCGTAAGCTTACATTAAGACCTGGAAGGTGTAATTCTTGTGTATGTTACGCCAAGAAGAGAGACAATTAAATCGCAGGCTTAGACATTGAAAAAGACAACATTTCCGTAGAGTTTAGCTGTACAAGAATCCAGCAGACCTGCTTCTCAATGTGTGCCCTCACCTAAATCTCGCAACACGGGAAGCAATCATCAAACTGGGTTGTACTGTACTGCCCCATCCACCCTATTTCCTGATCCGACAAACACTGATTTTCATATATTGTGTCTATACAGATGGGTCCGCAGAAAGTGCAGTTAGAAATGGTGGTGCTGGAGTGTACATTGAATTCCCAGATGGTACTAGGGATAAGTCCAGCATACCAACCGGGAAGTACTGCCATAACTATGAAGCAGAAACTCAAGATAGCAACAGAGAAACTGCTAAATACCAATCTTGGCTCACGGTGTGTAGTAGTGCTGACAGATGCTAAATCAGTACTTGAAGCACTCCAGTCAAGGAAACTAACAAAATTGCAAACACTGCTGACACAACTCAGCCTTCAGCGAAGAGTCGTAATGCAGTGGATACCGTCTCATTGTGGAGTGCCTGGAAATGAGAAAGCTGATCAACTGGCAGGGGAAGGTGTGACAAAAGAGCAGCCGGATGTACCAGTCACATACCACCAAAAGAAAAGAATCATTAAATCGATCAGGAAACCACCAGCCCCAGCACAAGACGACTATTTTATTATGGACAGACCAGAACAAGTCATTATCCTCTGCCTCAGAACAGGGCACAACCGATTACGTAACCACATGTACACAAAATTCAAGATAGTTGTATCGGCCATGTGCACCTGCGGAAAGGTGCCCCAGACAGCAGAGCATGTACTCCAGGACTGCACCGAATTTGACACATTAAGGCAAACCTTTTGGCCATTAAGAACAACAGTGGAACGTAAACTCTATGGTCCACTGAATGAAATAACAACGACAGTGAAATTTATACAAGAGACAAAACTGCTGATATAGACAACTTATTTCAGGCGAACGAAAGAAGAAGATATATTGTGTCCACTTAAAGATGCACTCTGGAAAAAGGTCTGCAGATGATGGAGATATTCAAGCAGCAAAGAAATGGTAACCTGGTCAAGACAAACTCTGTGAATAATGCCCCTGTTCAGACCCGACATAAAGCTGTACAAGTTAATTGGGGATCAGGATTAATAACTTTTATCAAACATATGCACGTATATTGTGTTTAAATTTCATACTTTCTGAAAAATCAGCTCCTGAGAAAAACAAGCTAGTGCCTTACTTTCTTCACACCCCTTGTATCTCACAACAGTGATTAATGAAAAATGACAGCAGGAGTAACCCTAAACCAGAAACTTTTCAAAATAAATGTCACAGGAGAATCCTGAGAACATCTTGGCAAGACGAGAGATCACCCAAAGACGGAAAACAACATGCTCAAAAAGTAATTAGCCAAGTCTCCAAGCATTCTTGAAATAAGGTAAAAGGTAAAGGTAAAGTCGGGAGATGTGAACCAGTGTCATTGCACACGGTTATAAACCATAAGTGCTCTGCCACCAGTACGGACAGCTGATAAGAAATTGACCGCCTGTGTCGTCGTTCCCACGTAACTCCGTAGCTACAGCGACGTTCCTCTATTTACCCCGGGGTGTTAACTTTGGTACCCATTTTCTTGAGGCTGGGTGAACCCCCAGGTTTCGAACACCGGCCGTGGGCTGCAGCGAGTCGCAGCTGGATTTGAAAGCAAGTCTCCGATTGACTCTGCCAAGACGGCCCCAATTCTGTTTATATTTTCAAGAATGTAAAAAGTAATGAGCCACATATACATATATTCTTAAACAGTAAAACTAACAAACTTAGTCTCCATAAATTTAACAATAACGAACTTCGCCAATCCTCTCCAGTTTAATCCTCCGATTTTAAACTGTATAGCATTAAGGAGAATACCTGGACAACTGTCTGCCTGGCCTAGTCTCTCTACATGTAAAATGTCAAAAACTTTTGTTTGAGAATAAAAACACCCTTTCCCTCGTGTGGGTTTTGGGGCCCTGTTATAGAGAAAACAAGAATAGACCCACTGCCTATTTAAAAGCATGTCATAAGAGTCGACTAATTCGGAGCTTCATTCGAAGTCAGCGTGAATCTGCCTGAGAGGCAAGGAACCAGCAGTCTGCACACAAATGTGTCAGACCTGTAAAATGGATGCACAGGCAACAGTCAGGTTCTGCAACAGGAAGTGGATGAACAACCAGAACTCTCCACCAGAGTTTACAACTGGTGAATGCAAAGAAGAAAGAAAGAAAGAAAACAACCTTGATTGCCTGTATTTACCAAATTACAGATGACGTAGATCACAGAAGTCTTGCGGCTGTATATTTAGCACCACGTGGCTCGAGCGGTCACCATGAACTGTGCAGGTTACTATTTTGGTTTCCACTCCTAACAGAAAAACTGTCCCACTTTCTAAGAAAAATCAGCGCTGGCTGCTGAAGATAGGGATGGAGCGCTTATGGGAATGCCCTGACCGCTGTGATGTAGGTTCTTGAATCAACTCAATTCAACAAGGGAAAAAACTTGAAACTTCCTGAATGAGAGCCTAGGGTTCCCAGTACTAACCTGGACACCATTACACTTTTTACCGATGTGTCGAGGGAGACATATAAGGTTCTTCAACTAGCTCTTCTGACCACCTCAATCATAGACACCTCATGCTGTTATAGAGTTTCTCTGATATTATCTTCTCATTATGTTCTTGGTCTATCTTGTGCTCTACATCCTTCTCTTCTTTTGGTGTATGCTTTGTATGGTATAGCGAGTTTGAGAATACTGGCCAGAAATATTGGCCTCCCATCCTTAAAAGTTAAATACCCGTACTAACCTTTAACCGGTTAATAGTTAAAACCACAGCCAACTCCAGATATAAGGCCATGCCAGCCACAAAAACGGAAATTCCCGTTTGAGCTGTGTGGCTTATATCTGTAGCTGGTCGTGTTTAAAACCTATACTGACCTTCCATCTTTTAATAGTTAAAGAGCTATGCGCTGTAGGAGTTCACTTGTACAGAATACGAAGAACAGTGCAAGAAAGAAGAACAGTGAAAGAAGGACGGTTCAATATTTACACCAACTCTCTTATCTTAACGTTCACCAGCTGTAAACTCTGGCAAAAAAGTTCTGCTTTTATTCACCTATTCTAGAATCTGGTCTTGTTTGATAACTTGAGACCTGCATGATGCATCTATTTTACAAATCTGGCTTGTCTGTCTGTAAACTGCTGGTTCCTCATCTCTCAGACAGATGCACTCCTATTTCAAAGGAAGAACCCCTAATTAATCGCCTTTAACAACATTTGGTCTATTATTTGTTCCCCAAAATTAGGCCCTGGAACCCATACAGGAAATTTATACTAACAACAGTGAATACACTACCTTCCACTGAACAGAGTAAAGCCACTGGTCACGGATGTAAGCATTGTTTGCCTGTTGACAGATGAGACATTAGCGTTTTTATTATATTTGTTGGTGGTGGTGGTGGTAATGATGATGATGATGATGACACCACATCAGTATCTTGTTGTGCCATCACAGGTCACACAGGGTTTGTAGTTTATTCTTCCACTCTGTTCTATCCTGGGTCTATGAGTTTTTGTATCATGATTTTGTTTTCAGGGAGACGAGCTGGTCTCACACCCAACTCTCCTCATTTCTTATCCCGGCTTGGAATGGACAAGAGGAGATAAGGATGATGATGATATATCAACAAATCAATCATATACAATATAAAGCCAATCAACCAACCAATCCAATAAACACAAAATAAGTAAATCATACATTTTATTAATTTGTGTTTTACCCAGGCCAAGACTGAGTACTTGTCAAATTAATGGGCCATATTTTTGTTTTATTACATTCTTGTCAAAGTAAAACTGGTATATTCAAATAATGTGCAAAGTTTGTTTCAAAATATTCTTATCAAATTGCGAGCCAGGTGTTAGTTGCAGCTCATTACTGTCAAATTGAGGAGCCAAATCAATGCCTTATTATATTCTTATTGTAATGAGTGCTTTTCTTACTGCGGGTAAATTTTCTCAATGTCTGAAAATGAGGACATCTACTAAACACAAATTATATGTGAGAATTCAAATGGCTAAGATTCCTAATTATAATGTAAGCGTGAACAGGCTGAGTAAGCGATACTAACTCGAGACAAACGTGCAGTTAGGCTGATGTGTGCCAAATGAGGAAATCTTGAAATATGAGTGAAACTTTTAAGTGTCCAAGAACTAGAATAGATTAATTAATTGTTTTAATTTGGAGAAAGTAAGAAAGCTTAGTATTGTGTTCGATCCTCTCAGACTGGTCCCATGGCACTTAGTGTGCCTGAGTCGAATGTATTCATAGATTGAATGAATGTCACAAGCTACTGGCCTGTTCCCTGAGAAAAAAAACCTGGCTATGACTCTACAACAGCATATTCCTTTAGACGAATGAGCCAAATCTCTGTCCAGTACATTCCTATAGAAGAATTAGCCAAATCTCTGTTCCTGTAAATTCTTATAGAAGAATTAGCCAAATCTCTGCCCAGTACATTCCTATAGAAGAATTAGCCAAATCTCTGTCCCTGTAAATTCTTTAGAAGAATTAGCCAAATATCTGCCCAGTACATTCCTATAGAAGAATTAGCCAAATCACTGTCCCTGTAAATTCTTATAGAAAATTAGCCAAATCTCTGTCCTAGTATATTCTTACAGAAGAATGAGCCAACTCGAAGTACAGTCTAGTACAAGAAACAGGTCTGGGTGGCCACTCACCTGTAACAGCAATGATCCATCTGGTACTGTGATGCGGAGACAAAACTTCTGGCCTGCATCCCACCTGGAGACAATGTGTACATCTTCTATACTGGAGTAAGGAACTGCCAGCTCCATGAAACCCACAGGCTGGAAAGACACCAAATTCACACACATTAGAATCTTATCCTGGAAACAGATCTAAGGTCACACAAATTAGAATCATATCCTAGAAATAGACCAAAGTCACACAAATTAGAATCATATCCTGGAAATAGACCAAAGTCATACTAACTAGAATCATGACCCGTAAAGAGACCAAAGTCACACAAATTAGAATCATATCCTGGAAATAGACCAAAGTCATACTAACTAGAATCATGACCCGTAAAGAGACCAAAATCACACAAATCAGAATCATATCCTGGAAATAGACCAAAGTCATACTAACTAGAATCATGACCCGTAAAGAGACCAAAGTCACACAAATTAGAATCATATCCTGGAAATAGACCAAAGTCATACTAACTAGAATCATGACCCGTAAAGAGACCAAAGTCACACAAATTAGAATCATATCCTGGAAATAGACCAAAGTCATACTAACTAGACTCATGACCCGTAAAGAGACCAAAGTCACACAAATTAGAATCATATCCTGGAAATAGACCAAAGTCATACTAACTAGAATCATGACCCGTAAAGAGACCAAAGTCACACAAATTAGAATCATATCCTGGAAATAGACCAAAGTCATACTAACTAGAATCATGACCCGTAAAGAGACCAAAATCACACAAATCAGAATCATATCCTGGAAAGAAACCAAAGTCACACATATTAGAACCATATTCTAGAAAGAAAGAGAAAAAAGTCACCCTAATTAGAATTATGACCCGTAAAGAGACCAAAGTGACATAAATTAGAATCATAACCTGGAAAGAGACAATAGTCACACAAATTAGAATCAGGATCTGGAAAAAGGTCAGTCACCCCTGTTTAGCTCTTTCAAACCCTAGGTTTTCTAGCTAACTGCCAAAGAGTGAGGTAGAAGCAGTGGCTCAGTGGTTCCATTCTTGCCTGCCATACTGAAAATCTTGGGTTAGAATCCTTAAGACATATTTGAATTTTAAAATGTTTGTGGCTTCAAGACAGAACCAGCCCCAATGTGATGCAGGAAATGTCCTCGGATGCACAGGTGGCTAGGATGGATCAAGCAGCACCTGGTCTTAAAAAAAGTTTGGATCTAGAACCATATGCCTACGTTGCTAATGGCATAAAGCTGGTCCAATTTATTCCTTTACAACAGATGATACGACAGCTAAACAATTATTCACAATTCGTTACTTCACAAGAAGCTAATTGGACAGCCTGAGCATGCCAGATGTCTTTAATAATCCACTGTGACTAAATGTCAGTGAACACATTAAGTGATCGTTGGGATTCATAGCAAAAGCTCACAGTACACCCAAGCACTGTGCTGGGCTGAAAGAGTTAGAATTCCATATAAAGACTTTCCAACACTGGCACTGGGTAGGACACAGATATACACCTAATAACATTGTATAACAATTCAACTAGAATGCCCTTGCACTGGAACCCACAGAGGCAAAGGAATAAGTGTGAGAATCCACACTCCCACCCATCCCCCCCCCCCCTTTTCCACCAACTACCCAAGAAAAAAAACAGGCAGAATGAAAGAGAGAGCGTGATATGGAGGAATAGTGAGATTGAGGGAGATTAAAAAGGCAATGAAAGAATTAGTTACACAGAAAGAAACAGAGACATAGGGTGAAAAACAGAAAGAGAACAAGAGGGTCGTAGGGATATAATGAAAGAACAAAAAAAGGGTAATTCATGCAACGAGAGATAGTGATATGAAGAGAATAAGATAAAAGACAAAAAGCAACAGAGAGGAAGAGCATTAGACAAAATAAGAAAGAGAAGGAACAAAGTTTAAATGGAATGTGCAAACTTAAGAACAAAAAGGTCAGCTGACACAGATTTCATATAGAACTAATAGTATCCCTGTCCCCTTTGACAACCAGCCATAATATCATCTCTTGTGTGTGGATGTCAAAAACAGGCTGGCTATGTCTGTACATGTTGTAAGTGTTTATTATATATGCCTTCAGTTTTCCTTGTCTGTTTACACAATTTATTTTACTTTCTGGAGACTTCTGACAGCTGGGTGGTTTTATACTTGGCTTAGCTTCTTGTTTGTATTTTTGGGGGACAAGTATGCAAAACTGTTGTTGGATACATTCATAAGCAAATAATATGTTTAATTCCTTGTTATTTTGGAAAAGTAGTTACAAAAATAAAAATTTTTAAATGCTGTTTATCTATATTATGTCAGAGTGTGGTCCCTTCTGAAGCAATTACCAGGATGCAGTCCAGACTAACGCAAGCATGTTTCCCAGAAATATACTGTCTGTCGCCTCTGACCAGGTGTTCTTCTGTCACTACATACTCCTCCGTGTGGGTTCCGGGGCCCCATTGTGGTGAAAAACAAGAATAGACCCACTGCCTCCCCAAAAGCATGTCGTAAGAGTCGACTAATTGGGGAGCTTCCTTTGAAGTCGGAGTGTATCTGCCGGAGAGGCAAGGAACCAATAGTCTGTATTCAAGAGAAAGAGACTGTAAAACTGATGCACACGCAACACTCAGGTTCTGGAGCAGGACTGCAGTTCAGTAGTGGACGAGCAACCAGAGTGTACAGCTGGTGAACGTAAAGAAGAAGAAGACTACATACTGCACAATCCCTGGTCTTCCGTCCTTCTAATGTGGCAATAAAAGGCTGGTGCCTGTCGTCTTTCTTCTGCATCCAGAGTTGACGGGTGTCCTGTTTGACGATTATTCCTTCTTTGACGAATAGGTTGCAAAGTTCGCAGATCCCATTTGTGAGGTTTCTGATGATTATACATTCTGCATGCTGGCCAGCCTTTGAATCTTACTTTGCATTCATCTACAGCAGGGCTATTCAACCGGCGGCCCGCAGGCCAAATCTGGCCCGCCAAGGTCTAGCAAGTGGCCCGCGGATAAATTCTAGCTGTATTGTATTTTCGATCTTTCTATGCTGGGGATGAGGCCTCTGGCCCTTGACGATCCCCGTTTTTGAACATTTTGGCCCCTAAGCCAACAGTTGAATAGCCCTGATCTACAGCAATATTTTAATGGGGAATAAACAACTGTAGACATCTCTCATTCGTATGAAGGACAATCTCTTTAATTTTACTTCCTTTTGTTAGGCAGCCAGCTCATGCACTTGCAGTTTGGTTAGGTGGCTGAACATGTAACATCTAGTGAATTCGTTCAAACTTTTGTGGTGAGAATATGTTTCTGAATTGTTTACCTTTCCTCGTTGCTGCATTGCCATTCTCAAAATGACTCAAAGACATGCATTTATTTCAACAGTTGTAACATCTAACCAAGTATACCACAAAGACCCTGCCTGCTGCCAGGGTTTTACTTTGAATCTTCTCAGCTGTGTAACTGTTAGTGTCCGTTTCCTTGACTTTGTTATGTTGTCAATGAGCACAGGTGTACATACAAAACAACTGTTTTAGGCATTTCACTATTAGAAATTTGCACACCTTCGTTCTGCACTGCAAACATAAATTTGTTTATGTCACAAGAACTTGATCTCTCACCTACTCATCGCTCAGTCACTACATTTTGATCAGCTGCTGATTCAGAGATTCAGTATTCAGATTGATGGATATTCAGCATGAGTATTGATCGACGGAGATTCAGTATTCAGGCCGATGTGATCTACACTGACCTTACTCTGTCTTCATCGTCACTGGCATTGTTCGCCTCTTCAGATGACAAATCATTACTTTGAAGATCTAAATAATCACTGTCACTGTCTACACCACCTTCCCCAAACAAGACAGAAATCGCAATCACTTTCCTCTAAATAAGATAGAATGTCGTCTGCAACCAATGACTGCGCCTGCTTCCACCTGCCAGTCTGACTACATTCCGAATGGAGCGTGTAGCGGGGCTAAACCAGATGGCTGGGACTCACCAGCAAATAAAATGAAGGAAGCTGCAGGAGGTGCGGTAGCTGCAGCTCTGGACTCCCAGGATATGAATATCAAGGAAGATCGTCTAGTAAACAGCATCTTGTCTTGTATATGTTAGCCATATCAAACGTCACGGTGGACTGGGAAGAATACTAGCAGAAGGTATGGTACTTAGAAAGAGGGGCAGGGGCCGACCAGCACGAAGATGGGCACAGGATATAGGGGACATTTTGGATAGGAAAACTGCATAAGGCGGGAGAGCTGGCGAGAAACACGGGTGTTTTTTTTTCTTTTCAGGCAGACCGTGATGAGAGCGACGTTCTGCAAACGCTCTGCTACGTGTTTATTAACATTATTATTTTTGGGGGGTGGGGGTTATTATTAGAACCTTAAAATAAGATTAGGCTCCATAAGGACCCCCCCCCCGCCCCCCTCACCAATATAGGGGTGTGAACTCGGTTCCCCTGCACTACACTGTAAATTATGATAGCCCCCTTCGGCTCTCCCTCTGTCCCATCACAGCCACCAGCGCACTTCTGTGGATAAGCATGGCCTTCCAAGAACAGACAAACAAGCATGTCTGTGCCAGTACTAAAGTCCGCAGGCCGGCGGCACAGCCAGCAGACACAGAAAACGTGTTTAGTCCACACGCCGAACTTCCTGTCTGTAACTGAGCCCCAACCCAATCAATGTTGCACTGTCCGCAAGTGCTCGCGCTGGTATTGGGGACGACAAGCAGAGGAGGAGACCCGATGAAGTGTTCCCGTCACAATTTACATTCAGTAATGATTTTAGGGCTGCTTTTTGCTGATCGGAGCTAAAAAGGGTTCTCACAGTTTGGGTTCTCGAGTGCTTTATGGGGACTGATGTTGCTCCTGGGGCAACGTCGCCCCTTCCCTCCATCAGTGACTGTTCATTATAGGCACCTAACACAAGACATCCACAGATCAAGACTGGAAAGGATTGATTTTTCCGAGTCTTTCCTTTCTCATTGTGGTCGTGTTCGTTTAGTCGTGTCCTCCTCTTTTATTTCACCTACCTTCTCGTTCTTTTCTTGCTCCAAGACTACTTATTGCTATTACTACTACTACTACTACCCCACAGAGGCTGCGTGGTCTC